ACTGTGGTCCACTATTTTAAAAAGACAAGGGGACCAAACATGGCATGGGCCAAAATAATAAACCACGCGTAGAAGACAAACCATTTAAATCACTCCAAAACTGTACTGGTTGGTTGTACATGCGATTTTCGTTGCAGATGATAAAAACGTTAATTTTAGGAATAAGTGACAACGGGTTATTATTAAAAAAAAAATACACACTGAGTTTTAATGCCTCTGTAGAATATTTTAGAACTAATAAGGCTCAAAGCCTCGCCCTCGAACCGCTCCTGTGTAACGTTAGAGAAAGCATGATGCTTGCTTGCACGCCCTCCGCAGTTGTTGGACTGGACTGCGTCTCCATAACCAAAAGAATATACATTTATTTTTGATTACACAATTTATGAGTAGATAACGCATGGTCTGTTTACCAGCTCACATCGTCTTCGCCGACTTCGTATTGTGGTAACCAGAATTAGCAACAAAAAAAAGTCGTGTCGCAACGTAAACTTACCTTAAGATTTACTATACTAACGTTAGATGCATTAGATTTAATATATGGATAGACATATATTTTTAAACAATGTGATGGAGTGGAAATGTAATTTAACAGCATGCGCCTCCATTTGTCAATATTGCGTCTGTCTGTCGTAGCCTACGTTTTTAAAAAAAAAATCTGTTATTAATAATGTGGATTTGAAATACATTTTAATCAAAGAATTTTAGAAATCCCCAAACTACCCATCTAAAATCAATGTTATCATAGAAGGCAACTTCAGAGGACAGCAACTGACGTTGCATGTTTCTATGCATTCGATTCTACTTTAAATTAAGTAGTTGTTTAAGTCTGTCCTGGGACAAGCGGACACTCTTGTTTTCTGAATGTTTCTCGGGCCATTTTGATGCTTGTACTTTAACAAAGTGATTAACCATTAATATATACCTTCGAATCTGTTCAAATGAAATGAGCAAATAAATATTTAAGGTATTACATGCCAAGTTTGTATACATAGGCCTGTAAGGTAGGATACAAAACCCTAAAACAATTTTTTGAGATGTTGCAAATTATTGAAAAAAAAATTTTTTTTGAATGAGTGGAAAGTGGTGGATGTTCTTATTATCCTACACCATTAGAAAGGTTTAAGAAATGCACAGAATTTGACATTATTGTGTAAAATCTGAATTGCAATGGACCTGAGCACAAATTAAGTTCTGTGGCCACAAGTTGTTTCTATTACTGTTACTTTGTTTTTGTATGGGTTACATTTTTTTTAATAAATTAGTTGAACTTTGAGCTTAAATTCAATGTCTACACTTGCAGCTAAAATAATTTTGGGAAAAGAAATATATAAAAAATAGTGTTGGGCTGCTGAAATCATTACAAGTAAAAATGACCAACACAAATATTAACTTACATTGTCACAAAGATACCTTGTGGCAATGAATCAAGGAATATAATTATAATGGTTTTCTCTAGTTCTTCGTTGCCCGTAATTTGCTTTATGCGCAGCTGCTCTAATTCCTGGGCCCGTATCCCTAAAGAATTTTTGTGCAAAAAATGGCTCCTAACGGCCAAATTCTAAGAAAATTCTCAGTCATGCTGTTTTCTTAGAATTTCCCCTAAAAGTGACACGAAAATCCCAGTTAATATAAAAGCTATTCATTCCTCAAGATTCCTAGTGCTTAAAAGGGCTCCTAAGGCGAGACCTGCTAAGAGCAGGGAAGATGACTTTTAGTGGCTTAGGAGTTCCCCTAAGCAGCTGCACAAAATGGCCATTCTCCATTTTCTGTGTTTGTAGGATATTTGTTAACGAGCCTTCATAAATAGACCAGCCAGCAATCACAGACATTGATAAAAGCTGAGCCGTGTTACCCTCGTTACGACCACACTGAGTTGTTGCAATTTCTAGTTCATTAAGGACAGCCCCTTGAGATAGGCCATCTTGTTTTCAATGGGGTCCATATGGGAGTGAAAGTACAAAATATGCCAGCTTGGTGAGGAAATAAGACACGAATCATTATTTAAACAGGGTGTAATGAGCTTAAGTTTTCACATATTTTAGATTCTAATGTTAGGCTATAACCCCTACAGCTTACTATTCATTTTCTTGAATGTGAAATATTATTTACAATTACAGTCTGCATAAGATTATTAGAGTGTATAATTATGTTTATTGATTTGAGGGTACATCCTTTGCTCATTATCACCAAAAGTTCATTTTCATCAAACTTGTAGGATCAACCAATCACGGCTTTTGAAATGATGACTCATACCTAGCAACGGGGTCAACCACACCTCCTCACTAAGATAGGATTCTCCATCCATTCCTTACTCAGAGTTCATTGAAAATGTTCTGGAATCACTTGTAAGCTAAAACTCCTGGCAAGGAATTTTTAGATTAAGTTAGGAGCTCTCTGAGAGGATTCTCAGAATCTTTAGGGATACGGGCCCTGAACTTCAGCCAGCTCCTTGTTTCCTGTCTGCCATTATTGGACAGACTTTATTATTGTTGTGACTACTGAGGTCAGACACACCTGGATTAATCAGTTTGTCAATAATGGCAGACAGGAAACAAGAAGCTGGCTGAAGTTCAGGAAGTAGTGGAGCTGTGCATAAAGCCAATTGAAATACTGACCAATCCCAGTGTTTGCAATCACTACATGGTACATTAAGTGGTGCCAGAAAGCCAGTTTAATGTTGCTGTTCTATGCAAGAGACATTTCTCTTATATGATTAAAATCACACAATATCACCAGGGTTGGAGTGTTCAGGATGAGTGTCTCACCTCATATTTATACCATCTACTGCAACAGGAAACCATTCCCCATGTCCAAATATGCCTACATCCCAACTATGTAGTAGCAGCACGATAAATAATGTCTGAATTCACAGTATTCATAAACGGTAGGCCAAAACTACTCAAATAACATACTGCTCCTGCTGAGCAGGGTATCCAATTAACAGTGATCTCTTACATGAAGGAAGAGTAGATGAATTTTAAATAAGTAAATCAACTGACTTTCACATACAAACATGATGGCTTTAACATGTCTGCACTGACTAAAAATTAAATAAATAAATGAAAAATCCTTGTACCTAATTTCACTTAGAAAAAATGATACAATGATACATTTGGTTTAAACTGTTTTTATCATAGTACTGGATGTAAATGATTAAACATGTATCATCTGAATCAGTAGATTGTCTTGTTTGAGATGGTTACTTGAAATGTTACTAGAAATAGAAACGTCAATACTGATGACCCCAAGCTTAACAAAAGCTGATACACATAAACAAAGACATTCTGAGGATGCACACCAAATTGTCAAATTCCACCTGATATGGTGAACTACAGAAAAAAAGAGAGAGAGAAAGAAACGTGCATGTAATTTATGTGAAGATTGGACAAAACCTGTGAGAAGAGTATGGTGAAAATGTCAGAAATCTAAACTGAAAACATGCATCACCCAAAGATCCAGAGGAATTGGTGCTTGGCTCCAAATATGTTTAACAGTATGATATGTATAATAGCAGAGTATGTTATATAATAGTTATAGCCTTTAAATATAATACTGTATCAGTATTCAAGCTAACGTATTTACATAAATAGCTACACACAGGCAGATTTTATCATCACAAAGGGATTGGGTACGTTTAATTGTAAACAATAGAAAATAACATTCACACAATAAAAAAAAGAAGAAACATGTTATACATTATACTTTGACAATGGCTATTTGATTTCACAATCATCAAAACATTGGGTTCTACAGGCACATTAAAGGGATAGTTCACCCATAAACGAAAATGTTGTCATCATTTACTCACGCTGGTGTTGATCCAAACCTGTATGAATTTCTTTCTTCTGCTGAACATAAAATAATATATTTTAAAGATTGTTGTAACCAGACAGTTGACAGCACCCTTTAACGTTCTTAGTAGGAAAAAAATACCATGCAAGTTTGTTAACAGACACATTCTTTGAAATAACTTCTTTTGTGTTCATCAGAAGAAAGAAATTCATCCAGGTTTGGATCAACACAAGGGTGAGTAAATGATGACAACATTTTTGGGTGAGCTATCCTTTTAAGTATAACATTTACATGTGATTATAATTCATTGTACATTTTTATACACTGCTATTTAATTGATAACCCCCATTTGAGGATTTTTTTTAGCTCTATAGAAATTCAAGGACCTGTTGATAATATCAATTAGTTGTTTTCTCCCTTAATTTAAAAGCTTTAAAAATGCAATGATTTGAACATGTCTGTTGTTGTTAAACTATTTAGGTAGGTTTTACTTTTTTCCCCCCAACAGGTTCACTCAGTAATTTCTTACTTCAATAAAAAGTTATACAAAATAAATAAATTGTAAATTTTAAACTATGTTCTAATCACATACATACATCCACATAAGATGAAGACTACAATAATTTTAGTGGCTTAATAAAAGCCGTTTTATTTTACATAGAGTTGGTCACCTCATGTCGAATCGCATTATCAGTCGAATGCCACTCACGTCATCTCCGTAATCCACTTCCCTTTTACTTGAAATGTATTTCTACAAAGGTATTGATAGGGGTGGGCGATACAAGCAAAAAAATGTAACAATATCTAGACCCAGTTTTATTCGGAAACCATTTCAATCGTCCACTTTAGACATTCTTCTAACTTTGCAGCTACATGTCAACTAACTCTCATTAGAGTAGACTCTCTGTAAACACTTTATTTTGTGGTTTCCAACAGACATTCTACAGACTATAAGTAACTTTGCAAGTACGTGTCAACTTATTCTACTAACCAACAGCCTAATAATACTCTAAAGAAAGTCAGTTGACATGTAGTTGCAAAGTTACTTATAGTTGACAGAATGTCTGAAATGAACCATAGAAATAAAGTCTAACCTAATTTAGATTTAGAAATAATGTTTTTGAAGCCTCATCTCCACTTCACATTTTGAATAACCTTTCATGTCAATTCTCAGTGAATCACTCAGTGTGATAGCTTTTCATAAGGGATTAAGTGAAAGTGGTTTAACATGCCTGGGTTGCTTATGTGGTCATGTAAACGCATAAGAGATGTTCTTTAATGCTTTTATAGACATGCGCATGTAAATGTTACAAACATACAAAATGGTAACGCTTAAATATATGTGAGTTTTGTTGAGTGATTTATTTATTATAAGAAGCAGCTTATTTAAATCATTTGTTTGTGAATCTGACTATACCGCCTTGAATGTTTGTTTTCGTGTGCAGCTCCCAATGACAAGTCAATTTCATTTTGCAATACACTTCCTGTTCACATCACAACCAACTCACGTTCAAAAATGGTGTAAAATTTAGTTGTTTTTTTATCGTAGTACTGGAGATTCAGCCTTGCAGGACACACGGGAATAACCACAACAGAAACAATACTCAAATAGTTATACTGGTTGACAAATATTTCTACTGGTATAGCAGTATATCGCCCAACCCTAGGTATCAGTAACAGAAATTGTTTGCTTTTGCGTAAAGATGTATTCACGTCGCTAGCTGTCAGTATAAGCCATCACAACATAAACAAAAAATTACTGAGTGCACCTTTATCTTGAGAACCATGCTACTGTGGGCAAACGCTGACCCCTGTTCTTTCTGTGGTACATCACACATCTACACTTGAAGAGTTTTCCCTCAGCGTTACAGCAGTTTCAGGCTGCCTGTGACGTTATTCACCATCTCCTCTTCTCCTATGATGGCAAGCACAGTGCATGAACCTGGCTCCACCTGAACACAAAAACACAATCCAAAAATTAATTCCAGGCTTTATCAATATAGTCACACAAAATTGCATCAGACAAAATGCATCTTCCTGTCATGCGTCTCGTCTTCCTCTCCATGTATTTTCCTTTATTTTGTTAAATACATGCAAGAAATTAGCATATACAACCAGAACCCAAGAAAAAATGTAGTGTCTCTAATACTTATATATATAGAGACAGAGAAATATACTATTTTAGGTTTTAAACTAATAAAAACTGAATAGTACAGTCCCACCTTTTGCCACAGTAAACAATAAACAGAATTGTCATGCACGTTGGGATGTGTAGCTAACCTGTGTGTGTCCAGCGTCCTGTACCAGCTTTGTAGGAAGACTGAGGCTCATAGCAAGAGCCTGCAATTCCAACAGGTGTGCCATGTTAGTGCCTTGTAACACAATCTTCTTAGATCTAAACAGCCACAAAAACATACAAATACATTGACTTAGGTTTTAAAGGAGTAGTCATCCCCATGTCATCCAAGATATCCATGTCATTCTTTCTTCAGTCGAAAATAAATTAAGGTTTTTGATGAAAACATTCCTGGATTTTTCTCCATATAATGCATTTTACTGGTAACCAAATGGTTCAAGGTCCGAAAGACAGTTTCAGTGCAAACTGTTCAAAGGGCTTTAAACGATTCCAGACAATGAATAAGGGTCTTACGATCGCTCATTTAAAAAAAATAATAACAAAGTTTAAGTTTTATAAGATCAAATGGTCGCCTTGATCTGTTCTGTGATGCACGTTCGGACTCTCCTGTTCGAACTCGTTCATCAAAATGAACAAATTTTTTCCTGAGTCAATTCGTTCATTTCGTTCGTTGAATGAACCAAATGACACGAAAAAAGATTTGTTCATTTTGATAAACGAGTTTGAACAGGAGAGTCACGAACGCACAGAACAGAGCAAGGCGACCATTTGAGCTTATAAAACTTAAACTTTTTTTTTTTTTAATGAGCGATCGTTTCGCTTGATAAGACCTTACTCATCATCTGGAATCGTTTAAAGCCCTTTGAACAGTTTGCACTGAAACTGTCTTTTGGACCTTGAACCGTTTGGTTACCAGTAAAGTGCATTATATGGAGAAAAATCCAGGAATGTTTTCATCAAAAACCTTAATTTATTTTCGACTGAAGAAAGAATGACATGGATATCTTGGATGACATGGGGGTGAGTAAATTATCAGCAAAGTTTTTTTTGAAAGTGAACTACTTTAATACATGCTTTAATTTGGTGATGCTTCCTTTTTTTAAATCTTAATACAGATCGGTTAAACAAAACTGTTAAAACTGTTTACATCTGGTCACTTCATGCTTTTTCTACGATTGGATGTCTATTTAATCATAAAAAGACCAGGTATAAACATCTGAAACGTTTTAAGAATGTTAAATCCGATCACTCCAAACACTTAAGGAGGTGGTTTGAGACGCATTCCAGATTATTGAAACCACATATGTAAATTTTACTCCTCCCAAAATGATTGAAAACTACTCCCAAAAAAATGTGTGAGAACGTGGTATAGGCCAGCGATTCCCAAACTGTTGTCCGCGGACAACTAGTGGTCCGTGAGGGTACTGCAGGTGGTCCATGAAAAGGCAAAATAAAATATTAAATATTTTACAAATAAATTCCCATTAAAAAAGTAAAAAGAATATGTAGGCCTATATTTATATAAAATGTAAATTAAATTGTCAAGCTATTGTCTGATTACTAAAATAGTGGCGCTCGGCCGTGACGTTCAAGCTCCGTGTCGTCAGAACCACAACACCGGATCGGTGGATAGCAACAGGTTAGGTGAGCATTTATTTAGTTGTTTGTTTTTAATATAGGTCTATATTAGACAGATGATACAAAGAGGAAGGGAAAGATGTGGAGGGTGACAAAGGAGGATATTACGTTCATATCGGGCTGGCAAATAGACTCCAATGGCTTTTCCTTTTGACAACTTTATTTTCAACCTGAAATAACGTTAGGCCTACTGTGTTTTCTTTTAAATGTGTAACGTTATAGGGCAGAGGCAAATATGTTCTCAAGTCTACTTTTTGAGGACTTGTAGAACTCTTAAGATTAACATTAATAATCCCCTAAAATCGCTAAAGGTTTTGAAATGCTGACTATATCCAAGTGTTCTTATTGCTGTATAGATTTCATACTCCATTACTATGGAAATAAGCCTGTTGTTCAAATGAACCTGATTATAATATGTAATAAATAATATAATATGTAATATCATAATATGTGTATTATGAGGTGGTCCGTGAAAAATCTTGATTACAAATAGTGGTCCACACACACAAAAAGTTTGAAAACCCCTGGTATAGGCTGTATGAGATTAGTAAGTATCTCTTCAGCGAGCAAAAGTGCAAACCTACACAAATTAAGCTAAAAGTTCAGTTTCATTTAACATAGTAAGACTCATTTATCTTACAAGTGCTAATGCGTTTCTCTCTCTCCTATTGTGATCTTGAAATTAGCTGATAAAACAGCTCATATCTGTTGCTTTGGTGGACGTGAACTTTTTTAATTTTCATATAGCACAGGAATTGAAGATCAGATTTATAATCGTTTTGCAGAGACACATAGATGTGGCCAAGTGTAAATGAATCCATTTAAAGCAGTCATGACAGGAGAAATCAAACTTGCCTTGATCTTTGTACATATAGAGCCCTTGTACCATTAAAACATCCTTCAGGTTCATAGCTTAAAACATTCTCCTCAATCAAGCCTTAAAAAGGCTTGTTTGGATATTGTGAGTGTGACGTCACACATGTGCCTGTCTCCAGAGCAAGACATTGACTGACTCCACCCAGTGGTTTTCAGTCACTTAACAGCTAACACTTGCCTACACCAGTTTCGAGCATCGCATTGCGTGAAAAGCAAATACAACCCATTATATAATAACTGACGCCGTCTGTTGTTTTGTTTTGTAAACAAGGCACAATGTCAGCTGTATTGAATCTGTCAGCAGCTGCATATCAAAACCGCCAGTAAACGAGTAAAACTCTGATTGTCTGTTCAGTTTAGCAAATGAGTCAGTGTATGAGAATACATGTAAAACTGATGAAAACGTTGAAAAAATGTTCAACGTTTTAATAACGTGAGTGGAGTGGAATAAAGAACATGATAAGCATGACTGATATTCAAAACGGTAAGCAAGTGGTGCTTTGTTTATGCTTTTGTCTTAGTTTCGCTCTACCTTTTTGAATGGCGAATATTGACGAACAGTTATCTCTTTTACACGCAGAACACAATTGCTAGTTGAAGTCAGCTTTCATCAGCACTAGTTCTTTGGTGTCGGTTGGTGTCCCTAACCTTACTCACTTGCTATAGTGAGAGGGTATTGATATTGTTTCCTATGCAATGATGTTGCCAATCATCACAGTGGCCATTTAATGAAAAAAACATTTCATGACCCATTGAACAGAACAGTAAAAACTTAAAGTGACAAAGTATAAACAGGCCAAAGGACTACCAGTCAAAACATTTTTTTATGTATACGCATAAAATAAATTAAAATATATGAAAAAAAGAATATGATTTTGAAAGAAGTCTTGTGTTCAAAAGGGTTGCACTTATTTGAATCCAGTAAAAACTGTAATACTGTGAAATATTATTACAATTTAAAATAACAATAGTTTTAATAATAGTTTTAACAATAGCAATAATAGTTTTCTATTTAAAATTTTAATTTATTTCTATGATGGCAAAGCGTTTTCAGCAACCGTCTAACGCATACAGGTCAATCCCGTACAAGCTGGTGGAAACCTCACTGATTTGACACCATGTTCCAGACAAGTTTAGGGACCTCATTCTGAACTATTATAACTGCTTTAGTTTGAGAGTCGCCTCTGGATCAACAACATCTGGATTTCATAGGCTGGAGAAAGGAATAATCACAGGGTGCACTCTCAGTGATTTGGTTCGCCTTAACCATGAATAAGCTAGTTAAGTCAGCAGAGGAGGAATGCAAAGGTCCACTCATCCGGTCAGGTGTGTGTCAGCCCCCCATCAGAGCTGATCTGACAGTGACCAAAACATCCGTACCAGGATGCAGATGGATCCTTCCGAACCTCGAACACCTCATCAGCTGGGCCCGAATGGACTTTTAAACAGCCAAGTCCCAATCCCTTGTGGTGAGGAAGGGAAACGTAACCAACAAGTTCTGGTTCTCCCTGGGATGAGTCCAAATTCCATCAATCACAGAGAGGCCAGCTAAGAGCCTGGGAAAAGTCTTTAACAGCACACTTAGGGACACAGCCACACTTCATGAAAACAGAAAAGAGTTGCACGCCTGGATTGTAGCAGTGGACAAGTCAGGGCTTTCAGGAAAGTTTAAAGCCTGAATTTTCCATCATGACATTCTGCCGCAACTCCTCTGGCCACTGCTGGTTTACGTTGCCCCCCCCACCAACTACCGTCGAGAGAGGATTAGCCACTCTCTGTGTAGGTGGTTGGGTCTCCCATGTACCCTCAGTAGCATACCCTGGTTTCATAGTTTCAAGAACAAGCTACAACTTTCCTTCAGCAGCCTGTCTGAGGAGTTCATGTTTTCCTGAGCAAGAGAGGTGCTGCTGTAGAGAGAGTCAATTGATATCTAAATCTCCTCAGCTGGCATAGCGGTGAAGACAGGTAGGACGTGGAGGGCCCAGGAGGCAGTCGAGCAGGCTGAAGCACGTCTGCAGCACAGTAGTTGCTCGTGAAGACAATGGCATCAGGACGTGCAGGGCTTGGCTGTATACAAAGACCGCGATACGACAAGGCCCAGAAAAGGACAGGCATCAACTGCCTCATAAAGAAATCAGAGCAAGAGTAGAGGAAAAACGCAACAGCAAGATATGGGGGAGGGGGGGGGGGGTGCGTCAATACAGGAGCAATCAGCACCAGGATCTCTCTCAGCAGGCACCAGCAGCAAGCAGAGTACTCAATCATATTTGTCAAGGCTGGAGTGAAACCACAACGGAGCAGGAACCCAGCAGGGGGATTTCCGGACACAGCCTGGGACTGACAGCTAAAGGTCTTCCTAAGTCGAGCTCAAATACCCAGACACCATGGTGGTCCAAGGCAGGTGGTCCAACTGGAATTGACTGTGCACTGGGAAGACCAAATGGAAGAGGCGTTTAAATGGAAGAGGGCCAAATACGAGAAGTTGGCAGGTGAATGGCATAGCAGAGGATGGAAGACCCGCTGCCTCCTCATCGAGGTTGGCTGCCGAGGGTTTACTGGCCAGTCACTCTGCAGGGCCACAAGAAGAAAGCCATCAGGAACATCACAGATGCCACTGAGAAGGCAGCTAGATAGGGCTGTAGATCAAAAGGGGTGATCCATGGATCACACAATCTACGTACACTAGGGCTGGGTACCGAGTTCGGTACTTTTTAGGTACCGACCGAATTGCCTCGGTACTACCGAGTATCGAAACATGTCTTGTTTTTCGGTACCAAATTTCGGTACCTAAGTGGTTAATCTCCTCAACGTCAGTGAAAAAATAAGCATGCAGCATGATTGGCTGTGGCGGAAAACACTTGTTTACACGGCTGCCCAGAGACGTAGCTTGTCGCACGTGAGGCTGTAGTGTGTGTGTGCTTCACAGTCTATGGTGTGTACGTGTAAGCGTCCCAACCCAGATATAAAATATGTGGAAATGATCCAAAGTGTACCTATGTGCCAGACTCGATGCCAGAAGCATGCGATGCAATATTTGACAAGATAATAGCCGCCAAGACCGGTAACACGGTAAATCTGATAAGCGCACAGACACTTGAGAGTAGAAAGTTTATCCATTTTCGACTGCAAGAACTGGAGCGCGTCACAAATGAAACCGAAACTCAAAATATGTCTACTTTTAAACGAAACAATTAGAAATAAATAGTTCGATTACCTAATCCATATAGGCGTGTGCATTCACTACTACAGGAATGACGAGTCAACCTCACCATAAACATATTTGCAGCCAGCACACTTATTAAACACTTGTTCATTAACCCCTTAACGCCCACTGTCGCAAATATGCAACAAACCATTTGACTCAGTCAACCAGCCGAGATAACGTCTGCATTCCCCCAATGCCGGTTTGTGCATATTCACTACGGACCTATGGACCTTCGACAAGCACTTGTTTCAAAGTGACGGACTTATTTCCTGTTTCGGCACAAGGATTTCTCCGGTCAGGAACATTTGCAACATTTGCAACATACCAAATTGACCATTATGCCCGTTGTTGCAGATTTGCAACATACCAAATTGACCCCAAATTGACCATTATGCCCGCTGTTTCAGATTTGCAACATACCAAATAGACTCCAAATTGACCATTAATGCCCGCTGTTACAGATTTGCAACATACCAAATTGACCATTATGCCCGCTGTTGCAGATTTTCAACATACCAAAATTTCTATTTATTTGTTGTGCAAAAGTGAAATTGATAATCTCAACATTATTTACCATCTACTTAAAGGCAAAAACACACATAAAACATTTTTTTATATACAGCTATATAAATTCAGACGTTAAGGGGTTAATAAACAATTAAAATATATCCTTGCTGTTGTTTCCCGACACATCCATAATCATTAGGCTACTTTTGCCAGTGGTTTGCGGCAAGCTTCATGTGTGCTGAGCGCAAGGCATAAATCCCACCCCCCCTCCCCAGTAGCCTATATTTAATTTAATTCACATTTATTTCTATAGCATTTTTCACAATACATATCGTTTCAAAGCTCTAAATTACAATTTAGAGTGATCTGTTATCAGAGGTGTCAGTGTAATGCATTTCAATTCATTTTCATTCAGTTTCAGTGTTAAATAATGCATTAAGATAAGGCAGAAACAATGAGTTCATTGAAGTAAATAATTCATGTTGTTAAATGATTAGGAAACATAGAAAACTTTAACATCGATGCTTTTTTACATACTCAAAATATGAGTATGAAAAACTCAACAAACTGAAAAATAAAAATTTAGGTAATATTAAATTGTTAAAACTGGTTACATAAAATTGGTATCAAAAAAGTTATCAGTATCGGTATTGAACATTTTGTTACGATACCCAGCCCTACAAGTCGGGGGCTGGTCATCCCTGGCTGGATCACCTGGGCGAGGGTGTATGATGTTGAAAGACCCAAAACACCTGATGACCCCAGGTTACATCACTGATGATGTGTCTATGTTGCACCTGCAAGGTGCGTGTTAAAATCATCACATGATTCTTCAGAAATCATTCTAATATGCTGATTTTATGCTCTGTTACTTATCCATTAATAATAGTGCTCAATTATTAATAACGGTTCTTATTACTATGAATGTATTATGAATATATGTGTCTTGAGCACCAAATTAACATATTAGAATGATTTGTGAAGAATCATGCGACACTGGAGTATTGAAATTCAGTTTTGCCATCATGAGAATAAATTACATTTAAAAAAATTATTAAAATAGAAATAAGTTATTTTAAACTGTAATAATATTTCACAATACTAACGTTTTTTTTTTTTTTTATCAAATAAATGCAGCCTTGGTGGGCATAAGAGACTTCTTTCAGAGACACAAACAAATTTGGAATTTTTGCAACATTTGACTAGTAATGTATTCAGAAAACAATCTAGGAATCAGGCTAAGGTAGAAGGATGAGACAACATTGGCATCTCTTACCCAGCATGGTCCCATCTCCAGGCCATTTCCCTCCAGCTGTTTTTCTCCTGCAAAGCCTGATACAAACCCACTGCAGCATGACCCACCTGTGCCGCCACCTATGGACACATTGCTCATCTCAATTCTATTGAAATACACAGAACACACACACAGGACACTGTTCTCCAACAAATCACTCATTTAAATCCAAAGGTAGTCCCGATTGACAATAGAATCAAGTATAGAAGGGTGTAAAAGCACCTGTGCACATGAGAGCTATCTCTTTTTTCCATTGCACAAATATTTGTGTTTTCCTGCATTGGAGCAAGACACATCTTTCTCATTATTATAAAATGTAAAGTCACCATTATAAGAATGTTTTTAAATTTTATGAGATACACAGTCATAATTATAAACTAAAATAACATGATAATTGGAGGGGGGATGAGTTACAGGATCACATTTTAAAACAACAAATTTGTGGCAGAAACAAGCTTCAATAATAAATAAACATAAGACAACTAAAATGCCCGCTTTGAGTTCCAGAAAAGGTTTTCTGCAATCACAGGAAATGAAAATGTGTTGATGTTTATGGATGGATCAATTTTATTGATAATTGAGGACAAATTGAAAGGGTCATGAAACCTTAAAACACATTTTTGAGATGTTAATTTAAGTTTTAGTTAATTATAATAATTTAATAATTATTTAAAACATTACATTGTACTGACACACCCTCTTTCTCAATTATCTCTATAGTAAGTGTGTGTTGGAAATTTAAAAATTGTTAAAATATCTACCTTCCCGACACCCATGGACAGCTCCATATTTACAACAAAAACCATTTTGAACATCAGGTCCTCATCACCCTCTTCCTGTATATTAAAAAACAACACAGGGTTAAACGATTAAAAAAAATAGTAATTGATTGATCATGGCTGCCTTGATTACACAGCATTCTATTTAGATCTATCCCTGTTGAGACAAAAGTGTCTATTTCTAAAAATCTTTTGCAATGTTGAGAACTGTACCCGGTGGTTGGAGGAATACAATGGCCAATCAGAGATGTTTAAATAGGTCACTGCAATGACGGTATTTGCTCAAAATGTCAAATTTAGTTTAGCTTGAGTTCTGCACTTTTGCAAATGCTCTCATTATAACCAACCAATTGAAGGCAGAATGTAAGTAAGATATTTATTATTTAGTGTTGACAACTTCACTGATTATTAATAGCTCCAGTTATTATAGAGTGATCTGCTCACTTTCTGCAGGCCTATATATTCTTTCTATTCATTATTTGAATAAAACTTTTGTTTTTAATGCTGCTAAGAGGACCAGTTCCCATGTATACACTGCACAGTTTTAAACAAAGCAATAGTATTTGAGTGCAGGATTAAATACACTAAATAAGTGGTTATCAACTAGGTGCCCCACCAGACTTGAGACTTTAACCACTAGTTTCACAGACAAGGCTTATTGCACAGTACCAGTACCAGCTTGACTCGACTCAGCTCGCCTTTGTTTGGTTTTCCATTGTGTAAAAGTTGTACCTGTACCTGCTTTCGGATATTTTTTTTTGTATCACCTCCAGCGAGGTTCTGAGCGAGCTAAGGCGAGCTGAGCCGGTACTAAAGCGTGACGTGAAAACAATGCCGACTGCTGAATGGTCAGAGAGAATCATCACCATTCACTGCGTCATCATTGCATGCGCCAGATAGAGTATCCAGAATATCCCCACCATTTTTGAATAGTTTGGCCAGAGATAGTTACTAAACTTACTACTATTATTATGGCAACTTGGAAGAATACGCCGTGGTCAAACGAGGAGGTGGAGACTTTCCTTTGTTTGGTTGCCGAAGAGAGGATCCAGCTTGATAGGGCAACGAGGAACGAAAGGCGTCGCCATGATGACCAGGTACTATGTGTGGTGGTACTGTCTGCAATGGAAAACGGAGCGAAAAGCGAGCCGAGTCAAGTCGAGCTGGTACTGGTAATGGAAAAGCGCCATTAGGTCCCATGTTTGAGTTGCTTTCACTGAAAGCAACTTGCACTGACATATCTTAAAATATGTAATTGCCATTGTTTTGTCTCAAGATGCACACCAGCAATATTTTTTTTTTCTAAGGCACGTTTTTAAAAGCTACTTAAATGCCGTAAATTAACTAAGGTCTAATCCTGACTTAATCTAAGCCCTATCTGTAAAATCAGACAAAAATGACTGGCAAAAGATACTTTAAAAGAAGCTGAAACAACTAAAAATCAAGATCAATATTTAGATGTGTCCCCTTAACAACTGTTTTTTTCTTTATTTTAATCTCATAGCACCCCCAGTCTTGGAAAGCTGGATGTATGAAGTATGAATTAATTAAATTACTGAATTAAATTAATAAAATCTTAAACCACCATGGATTTTGATTTCTAAAATCTTTAATAAGATAAATCGAGATTTTTAAAAAATGGATGACAAATTTCTTATACTTTTCTTATACTATTCTTATTCAGTTCATAATGAACTGTTACACCTAGTTTCTGTAAATAAAACATTTGAAAACAAGCAGATTTGTCATTATGAGAGGAGATATATTAGCCTAATGTGGAAACCACTACCATAAATTGTAGCACATACCATGTGAGACAATCCTGAAACTTTAATGAATGACACGGTCATAAATGCAACATCACTACTGACTTATAAATTAGCTATTTACTAAATAAATAGATATCTGCTAGCTTCTCTATGTATATACAGTACATAGAGAATCTACCATGATGTTTCTTTAAAAGAAAAGTATTTTACAGTAGATTCAATGACTCAAAATTAATAATCACAATAATGAGGTAAATAGTTGAGTTATGATTTAGTTCAGTTTGCGCAGTCCTACAGACAAAGCTGTATTCAATGTAAAGTACTTTTAAGGGATAGTGAATAAAATCTCATCATTTAAATTGATCATCTCTCTTCAGAAATTTTTGGACCAAAACAAATCCCAATGGGTTAGTTTTAAAATCACTTTATTAATTTGTTTTGAAGCGTCAGCGTGTCAGTTGCGTAGCTGTCAATGGAGGGACAGAAAGCTCTCAGATTTAATCAAAAAGATCTTCATTTGTGTTCTGAAGATGAACAAGAGTATTGCGGGTTTGGAACAAATTGAGGGCGAGTAATTACTGACAGAATTTTAATTTTAGGGGGAACTAACCCTTTAAACAAAGTCTATCTGTCGTTCTGTGTGCATGTACCTCATTCTCCAGTTTGTTGAAATAATACATTGCAGCCTCTTCTGCAGACACATTCTGTGTGTGTAAGAGTGCCTGGAACAGATCAATAAAAGCATCTCAATACAAAAGACAGCAATCATGATACAACATTCATATTTGATGTACAGCAGCTTCTGCTACCACAGAAGGTAAGTCAGAGTCTAATGTCCAGTATACAAACTGTTTGGGTGCTCAAAATATTTTGATATTTACTATGAGAAACAACCACTTAAGAGTCAAGCAGTGCTGCAAATACACTGCCAGTTCATTCATTGTAAGTGTAAAATGTTGTGCACCTGTTTGGCTGCCTCCTCAGGTATGTCCAACTCTCTGAGCTGCTGCAGGAATACAGGGTTCACTTCCTGCTGGGACTCCATTTCTAAAATACAGACATACACATTATAAACCCCTTATTAACATACTGTTTTCTAACAGATTTAAGGGATGTAATACGGTCAGGTTTAAATTGAAAATAGCAGCATCTTCTGTTGAAGCATCTCACTGAAGCATTAGGTTCAATTAGGTCAAAATGAACGCAATGTCTTTCACTGCCGAGTGCCGACATCCACAGAATCATTCAAAATCAACTGACCGTCCGTTATGAATTAATATTTTCATGGTTACGTTACATCAGGTTTGTAGCTGCTAATGCTAATGCCAGTATTACCAATAATTTTGGGGTTAATTTTTAAACAATCTAAGTGAAAGCAGCTGAGGGCAATTATATTCTGTAGTTTTGGGTGTTAACGATCGTGTCTCTTACCTGCTTTACTGAACTACTGAACGAGCGAATATCCCCCAATGCGACTGTGAGCTTCTTAGCGAACGATTGTTTCGTCTTTTTACTTCCAAAGGGAAATAGGGTCATTTGTGATATTTGCGATTATTTTAACCTCTCATTTCCATTCAACGTCGCTTATAGTTTTAGGGAAAAAATGCTGCAACAATAGCTTTCTACGCAAACGTGAACTACACATTACCGTATACACAGAGTTCATGGGTCACGTCGGTTTCATTTCCGGGTCATCTTACTCTACAACTCCAAAGCCGCTTCTACTGCTTCTACTCTAACAAACCTCCAAGATTAATGGTTTCGTTTTGAAGCAAACAATTAAATTAAACCATTTCGGTTAATAAGTCTATATCCATCCTCACGCCGCAGGTAAAATTGCCCACGCCTTAATTCATTATTCCTAAATAGTGGATACACAAAAAATAGAAAAAACTACAAACATGGCGGACATTCTTGAGGCAGACGAATCGTCAACGTCGCCTCTCATAAATGGACTGTACAATTTGCTGTTATCATTAGTAAAATATTATTATATTATATTCATACTCCACTTAGTTGTATTTATTGGCTATTAATAATATTAATAGGCTAACTGTTACTATTTTTACCACATCACTTAAATGTTCTACCGCTGTAAATGTTCAAAAGGATGATTTAGGGGTCCAGACACCAAAGGTGTATTGTGTTTGTACTGGATTTCTTCTTTATGTTTCTGCCCTAAAGGTATATGGACTTCAGAGACGCCTCTAGACCCCAAACTTTACCCCACAGACACATACCATCTGACACTAGGTGGGGCTATAATAAGAGGATTTGCATCACTTTGGAACCATAAGGACTAGAAACAAAATGCTTCTCATCCTTGATTCCTCAAGGCAAGTCAAATATTACCTAATATCAAAATGTGTATAGGTTTTTTCCCCATCCTTTTGAATGGAATTGAATGCATAGATTTAGCTCATTTGTAACCATAATGAACTGACAGTATAGTTGTATATAATTAGTGTAAATAGAATTTGTGGAATACTTATAGATAATTAAATAAATGTTTACTGTTACTCATAGACCCAATAAAACATTCAAGTTGCCTGACATGATTAAATATGATGCTGTCCATTTAAAATAAATAAAAAGACTATTTAATTATAACATTTTTACAAAGACAGGCTTATTTATTGTTGTGGTATGAATAAAACAAACACTTCTGTGTTAAAACTGCAAGCATAAGTAATCATGCAGTCAACACAGTATTGCATAACCCGACACCAGCTCAGAAGCACCTGCAGCCCAAGAATTATTCGATTTATTTACATTTTGTCATCATGTACTATCTCTATCTGATGTTTTCCAAAGCATGTATATGTTCCACAGAAGACATGCATGCATACGCAGATGCATACAGGTTTGTAATGACATAAGGGTGATAAAAAGGATAACAGAATTTTCATTTGTTGGTTAACTATTCTAAGGGCTTTTTACTGGTATGCTATATCAGTCAATTTTCTTAACTCTTCTCCAATTTAGGGTTTTAGGGCCAAGGCAGGGAAACGCCCTTGGCAGGTAACCAGTCCATCACACCAATTGTATTCTAACATATTCAAATAAATCATTTACTTTTCATATCATATGTACATAAAACGAAATGTTTAGACATCTAAAGTAGACTATGCTTAACAAAATTGGCACCTGCATACAAGGAAGAACAAGATACTTAGATTATTTATTGAGAAAGTGTGGTTCATAAAGTCTAACTAAGAAGGATGCATTGTATTTTATAAGCATGCTGTGGCCAGTCCAGAGTGTCAGTCTTACAGTCTCAGAGGTAAGAATTACCCTCGACTGTGGGCTCCAACCTAGTTCAAATGAATATCACTATTACCAAAAAAGTTTTAAGCACCAACAAAAAAACAGAGACTGGCAGAGACTCTCCAAATGTAAGCTTTATTTATCCAAATTATTAAACTGGTGCCATCATGTTCATCTTGAATGCCCAATACAATGTACATTATTTTAGTTTTCAAGTGATGCTATATGGAAAAGACACCTGATCATAAATTGTATTCCCACATAAAGCATACATTCAGAAACGAAAAAAAAAACAAAAAAAAAAACCAACCTATAGATCAGGTTAACACTAAACTTGTAGCATATCGTTAAACCATTTTTTTAAAGTACCATTTTATAATAATTTACTCTTTTTGAACTTGCCGAGAAGCTACGAAACAATTGTCTTTATTTACAATATTATACTACACTAAAAAAAATTAGTCACTTCGTTCCTTTGACCATTTCTAGTCCTTTGTCCATGTTCAGTGTTTGAGAACAGTCTTTGATCAAAAGAAGTTAATTGCATCTGAGAGATCTATTTACTTATGCAGTGGACCAGCACTAATATATCTGAGCACAACTTTTACATACAGATCATGTTTTCTCTCGTGAAGGCTAAAATTTCACAATACTATCTCTTTTAAAAGTACCTACATAAAATAATCAGTCTTTAAAATTCCTTACTGATGAAATGTTAGAGGATGTGGTAAGAGATGAGTAATTCATTCAATCCTATGTTGGCACCTCAAATAATAAAAAAAGATACCAAAAGATCAACATTAATTGAAAAAAAAATATGTATATATACATATACCACTGGCTAAACATGATTTGACCTGACTGGTTGAAACAATGACCCTATATGTAACAGCTTTAAACATTTTAAAAAGTAAACAAAACAAAGGCTCTTTCATACTGTATTATTCCAGTGACACTTACTAAACAATGTCAATTTACAATATCATCATAAACTATAAATGTTCTAAAACATTTTACTACAGTGTCAGTCATAAGATGTTTTTGCTTTGACAGTTTTAGCAACTTTGCAAAAATGCAGAATCACATTAGTTTTACGCCCAGTGGAGAGGAGAAAAATGACAACCGCACTGAGGAGGAGAAGAAGAACTTTCACATGAACACACACACACACACACACACACACACCCACTGGTAGATCCAGAAAGCGGAGGTAGACGGTACAGAACATCAAAAGGGTTCTGCTGTAAGGCCACGACCAAGCAAAAGTTTGTGCATGTATGTGTTTTTCATGATAACCCCGCAGAAATAAAGCAATTCAGGCTTAAAAAAAATGCAAAGGGACCGAAATGGGAATACGTAATTCCGAATAGTTTTAAGAGAAATCATCCCATGACCATATTCAAGTTAAAGACCACATTCTTTCTGTCCCAACACATCAGAATAGACTGTCACTCTTATTTTATCTTCATTAGTAGATACCAAAATGAATACAACTTGAGCTTTGTCTACACCTGCTACACATAGTAGCTTTTCAGATACTGTACCGTGTGTCGATACAACAACCCATCAGTGTCTTTTACATTCACTTTTTCCATGATCACAAGTCTGTCACTTTATTTTCTACAGCTGCAGCGATCTGTTGAAGCCGATAGCCGAGCTGCATTTTCTGAGCGGTGGAATCTTCCTCCAAGGCAGTGATAATCTAACATGTATAACACACATATGTGGAAACAGGAAAGAGGAAATCTTTTAGAATTAGAGCATAAATACTTAGAGCACTCTTCCCAACTGAGATTAATGGATGAACAAAGACTGCATTCACCCCTTTTTTTTTTATGTTTATTTTCCTTACAAATATCCTTTTTGTACTTAGACTTCATTTATTTTCTTGTTGTATTAAGTGCTGCTCCCTCTGGCTATATTTTCTTTGTACTCTATATAAGAAAAGAAAGTTATGCAGCCATGTTTGTTTGTAAATCTTGAAATTGCAATAAAAAAAAATAAAAAAAATACTTAGAGCAGCAGATATTAGTCCCTAAAAATGTATTTTTAGACTAAAAGTGGTATCCCTTTATAATAAGGTTTCAGTAGTTAGGGATAGTTCACCCAAAACTGAAAATTAGCCCATGATATATTCACCCTCAAGTCATCGTGTTTATGACATTCTCCTTTCAGATGAATACAATCAGAGTTATATTAAAAAAATATCCTGGCTCTTCCATGCTTTATAATGGCAGTAAATGGCCGTTTCTGTTTTGAAGTCCATAAAAGTGCATCTATCCATGATAAAAGTGCTCCACACAGCTCCGGGAGTTTAATAAAGCCAATGAGTTTGTGTAAGAAAAATATGCATCTATTTAACACGTTACAAAGTAAAATTCTAGCTTCCTGCCAAACGAACAGACACAGTCTATTTGACTTGTGCCGTCAGAAGTACTGTAGTGTGTCATGGCGTAGCGTAAATATCAGCAGTACGTAACATTACTCGAACAAGTTGCGCTATAGACTAAAGTTGAATCCGTACGTTCGCTTGGCCGGAAGCTAGTTATTTTACTTTATACAATTATAAATATGGATATTTTTCTTACACAAACTCATCGCTTTGCTTCAGAAGGCCTTTATTAACTCCCCAGAGCTGTGTGAAGCACTTTCATCATGGATAGATGCACATTTATGATGGATAGATGCACTTTTATGATGGATAGATGCACTTTTATGAACTTCAAAACAGAAACGACCATTCACGGCCATTATAAAGCTGGGAAGAGTCAGAACAGAATTTTTTAATATTACTCCCATTGTATTCGTCTGAAAGGAGAATGTCATAAACACGTAGGATGACTTGAGGGTGAGTAAATCATGGGCTAATTTTGAGTTTTGGGTGAACTATCCCTTCAACTACTTTAGTTAACATGAACTAAAAATGAACAATAGTTCTACACCATTTATTAAACATTTACTAATACATTATTCAAAACAAATGTAATATTTGTTAACATTAGTTAATGCACTAACACATGAGCAAATAATGAACATGTATTTTTGTTAACTAGCTTAAAAAAGATTAATGAGAAAGGAGTATATGCTATGGTTCAAAAGTTTGAGGCTGATATAAATTTTTAATGTGTATGAAAAGCATATTTTTTGAAAAGTACAAATTTTGAAATATGATTACTATCTATCTATCTATCTATCTATCTATCTATATATATTTTTTTTTCTTAACAAATGTAAAAGGCTTTAGTGTCACTTTTGATCCATTTAATGTGTCCTTACGTTTTTAATTCGTTCTTAAAAACTTTCCTTAAAAACAAACAAACCTTTGAACAGTAGTATGTTTTACATTTATTATTCATTGTTAAAGGGACAGTTCACCCAAAACAAAAATTATCATATCAGCATCATTTATTCGTTTGGAAGTTGTTCCAAACCTGTATGAATTTATTACTTCTGCTGAACACAAAAAAAAGATATTTTGAATGATGTCTGTAATCGAACAGTTGATGGACCCCATTGACTTACATAGTATTTTTTTTTTAAACTATGGCAGTCAATGGACCCCATCAACTGTTTGTTTACCCATAATCTTCAAAATATCATCTTTTGTGTTTAGCAAAATAAATAAATTCATACAGGTTTTTAACAACTTGAGGCATGCTGAAGATGTACATAACTAGTTCATGTCACCTGATGTTAACCAGTGAAACCTTTAGGTCACACTTTATTTTAAGGTGACGTAGTTAAATTGTACTTACTCAAGTAAGTACTGAGTAATATTAATTAACTATATGTACTTCCACTTAACCGTGTTATGGTTCAGGTTAGAGTTAGTTACTTGTTATTATTAAGCATAATTTAATGTTATTACTAAAGTAAGTGCATGTAGTAACGTGTAACTACGTCACCTTAAAATAAAGTGTTTGTAGTCAAGTCAAGTCAATTTATTTATAGAGCACAACATAAACACAACATTTTGTTGATCCAAAGTGCTTTACAGGGGCCTGTTTCAGAAAGCAGGTTAAGTGAAAACTCTGAGTATGTTAACCCTGAAATGAGGGAAACTCTGGGTTTTCCGTTTCAGAAAGGGGGGTATATCAAACCCGAGAAAGCAGAGTAAGTCAAGCCCATTTCTGAAAGAGATGTAACTTATACTCAGAGTCAGTTACCATGGTAACTTACTCTGTGAACCTAACCTGGTCGGGAGCAGGTTTTCTTCAGTAAACCCAGCGTTTCTTGCAGTCTCCTCCCCTTTTTTAAAGAGGAAGTGCTGTTTAAACACCAACAATAATACTAAAATGTATTTACACATTCTTTAAGGAATATATATATTGTTTGTCCATGGTTTAATTGACTAAATCTGTTTTGCAGCACTTTGCCAAAAAATAAAAGGATTAAAACATTTGCTAAACTTTTATTTGATTACCACTGTTTTGGATAATATATTTCTATTAAATCATTGAAAAAATTGTAATAAAATTTAACAAGTTATTAATGATAAAAAATAAGATGTCAATCATAATCATAATCAATTATTGAAGTTAGTTGATATTATGTTTTATTGAACAAATGTTTCATTTATTTAACTGTCATTTTAACTGATGAAAATAATAACCGTAATTTAATAATGCAGTTTATATATTTAACAATTGTTTAATACCATAAACCGTGACATTTTCTGAGACGGTTCTCATACTGTGAAACTCTCATACGTTACAACCCCACATGGGGGAGTCCCCCACCCCACCCCCGCTGTTAAACAAGTTACTCAGCAACTTTTACTCATGTTTTAAATTAACTACTTTTTACTTGAGTAGATTTTTTAGACTGGTATTTTTACTTTTACTTAAGTAAAAATGTATCAAAGTAATAGTAGACTACTTTAGGTTGAATAACATTCTTCCAGTTTCACCTCTGATATTATAACAGTTACTCTAAAATAGTTATGAATTATTAACAACAAATGACATCTTCAACGGTGTAGTTAGATTAATGTAATAATTACTATCTCTAGAAAGTATTGGTCTACATATTACTAAATCCTATATCAACCTCAACCACTTGATTAATACAAGGAGGACAGACAAGAAACTGCACTTTTAATGCTTTCAAATTAACAATACAATTGCATGAATTATTCTTGAATTGATCAAAGTGTGTAGAGGGAGAAGGTTATATAAAAATATACCTTTTAAAAATGTATGTTAAATCCACTATTGTTTTATACTGAATTGGTCTATAGTTTATGCAGTAGCCTATTTAATGTAATTGCATCATATTTTATTTTAAATTAAAGAAGAATTAAGAGTAATCCCTTTAATTAAATTACAATATTTAGATTACTTGGTAATTAATTATACCCAACACCTCTTTTTGTCTGTTGCCATGGTGACTTATAATATCTGCGCTCCATTAATAATGGCTTTTTATAGTTGTGGTGCACGCGCTTAACTCAGAGTCAGTCAACTCAGAGTTGATTGAACTAACTCATTTCAGCTGTTCTGTAACCGAAAACTCAGAGTTTCCCATCTCAGGGTAAGTCAACTCAGAGTTATTGAAACAGGCCCCAGACGGTCTAGAGAAAAAAAAAACAATAATAATAACAATAATAAAAATGAATGGAGAAAACTATTTATAGTAATAAACTAATAAAAGAACATTTCTACGTACATATACACAGTGTACCATACACAGCGTCACTCAAACGCAAGAGTATAAAAGTGAGTCTTTAAACTAGATTTTGAGCGATGGACAGGCCCTGATATCAAGGGGCAAGCTGTTCCAAAGTTTAGGTGCAGCAACCGCGAAAGCTCGGTCGCCTTTGGATTTGCAACGTGAGCGAGGGACTGATAAAAGAAGCTGGTCACCGGATCTTAATGACCTAGAGGTTGTATGTGGCTGAATGAGTTCACAGAGGTAATCCGTGGCTGATTGCTTGTAATGCTTACACATTGTCTTTTTGGTCAATCTCAGCCTGTCATGACTCACCTGGTCGTAGTATTTGTTGATGTACTTGTAGAGCTCATGAAGGGCCACCAGGTAATTTAATTCTCCAGAATAATTCTGACAATCAAAGCAAATGTGTAAATCTTATGAACACCATTTGTATGTGCTGCAAAACATAATGACTAACCCCCTTGCCTCTAACCCATAACAAATTCACCTCAGTCAATATTACTTTTTAAAATTTCCCAACTGAAAGGAAGTGAACTGATGACGGACATACCCTGGAAAGTTCAGCCAAAGCAGAGTTCATATCCTGATCGCTGGCAGAGATGGTCTGCTTGATGTCGGCATAATAACTGTGTAAGAAAAAAAGTGAGATTCAGAACAAGATGACTTTCCAATTTAGCCTTCATAGTAATAAAGTAGTGTAAAGTAATTTTACCGTTCCACCATCTGTTTATAGCGAGGGATATCTCTGGCATACAGCAACTTATTAATAGGTGAATCCTAGATAAATACAGATTTTTTTTTTTCAGTTTCTTTATAAGTCTTTCTATTGGCTTCCAGCTCCTTTCTCTGTGTGTCTCTTACCCTGCCGAGTTTATGCTCTGTGGTGGTGCAGGAGTCCATGAATGTTTGAGCAATTACTGACAGAACCGCATCCACATTATCCGACACCTGCACATCGAAGATGAACTGAGGGTTCTTTACAATGTTGATCCAGAACCGCAGAGGCAAACTAGAACCAAAAGACAGAACCAAATCAGATCATGAAAAAAATTGCATGTGTTTAACATTATTGCTCCACTCGTGGGCGGATGCTTGAGTGATTTTATGTAAGAAGTTTGCTTTGGGCCAATCATAAATCAATGACGGAGCTGTTTACGGTAAGGTCCACTGCTTTTTTGTCTTACTATGTAAACATGCGCAATATCATTCACAATTCCCCAGTCAACTAATATTTTTCACTTAAGGGAGTGAATGAAACTGAAAAGGGGGCTGCTGCTTTGTCATAGTTTGTGCTTGCAGGCAGTTCCAGTAGTAAGATGAAAAGATTTATCTTGAACTCTGTCATGGAAACTACAGGTCCTTCTCAAAGAATTAGCATATTGTGATAAAGTTCATTATTTTCCATAATGTAATGATAAAAATTAAACTTTCATATATTTTAGATTCATTGCACACCAACTGAAATATTTTAGGTCTTTTATTGTTTTAATGCTGATGATTTTGGCATACAGCTCATGAAAACCCCAAATTCCTATCTCAAAAAATTAGCATATCATGAAAAGTGTTTCCCAACCCTGTTCCTGGAGGCACACCAACACTGCGCGTATTCTTTGTCTCCCTAATCAAACACACCTGATTCAACTCATCAGCTCATTAACCCATCTGATTATTATGAGCTGATGAGTTGAATCAGGTGTGTTTGATAAGGGAACAGGGTTGGGAAACACTGCTCTAAACGAGCTATTAACCTAATCATCTGAATCAAATAATTAACTGTAAACACCTGCAAAAGATTCCTGAGGCTTTTAAAAACTCCCAGCCTGTTTCATTACTCAAAACCGCAATCATGGGTAAGACTGCCGACCTGACTGCTGTCCAGAAGGCCATCATTGACACCCTCAAGCAAGAGGGTGAGACACAGAAAGAAATTTCTGAACAAATAGGCTGTTCCCAGAGTGCTTTATCAAGGCACCTCTGTGGGAAGGAAAAAGTGTGGCAAAAAAACGCTGCACAACGAGAAGAGGTGACCGGACCCTGAGGAAGATTGTGGAGAAGGACCGATTAAGAAGGACCTGTATGTATAAACCTTAATCAAACAATTTCATGATTGATTTAAAAGGAAATTATAGCGGTTTGGAAAATGGATGGATGGGCGATTCATCTGCGGGTGCGACGTGGGAATTCATTTGGCACGACTCTCGCTATGGTGCATTATGGGTATTCTCTAGCAGTTGAAAGTACATCGGTTGTGCACTCGTTATTGCGGTGATTTGGGGGATTGAACAAGTACAATCGGTAACCTTTAACACAATCATGGCAGGTTCAACAAAGAATCTGAGCTAGAAAAAAAAGACATTGTGCATATATTAACCCGTTTAGTTAAAGGAGTAGTTCACTTTTGAAAAAAACTTTTGCTGATAATTTACTCACCCCCATGTCATCCAAGATGTCCATGTCATTTCATGTCAAAAGAAATTAAGGTTTTTGATGAAAACATTCCAGCATTTTTCTCCATATAATGCACTTCAGTGGGAACAAACGGTTCAAGGTCCAAAAGACAGTTTCAGTACAAACGGCAAACTGTTCAAAGGGCTTTAAACGATTCCAGACGAATAAGGGTCTTATCAAGCGAAACGATCGCTCATTTAAAAAAAAAGAAAAGAACAAATCTCTTTCCGAGTCAATTAGTTCGTTTCGTTCGTTGAATGAACCAAATAACTCGGAAAAAGGTTTGTTCATTTTGATGAATGAGTTCGAACAGGAGAGTCACAAACGTGCGTCACAGAACAGAGCAAGGCAAGCATTTGAGCTTATAAAACTTAAACTTTGTTATTTATTTATTAAATGAGCGATCGTTTTGGTTGATAAGACCCGTATTCATCATCTGGAATCGTTTAAAGCCCTTTGAACAGTTAACTAAAACTGTCTTTTGGACCTTGAACCGTTTGGTTACCAGTAAAGTGCATTATATGGAGAAAAATCCTGGAATGTTTTCATCAAGAACCTTAACTTCTTTTCGACTGAAGAAAGAAAGACATGGACATCTTGGATGACATGGGGGTGAGTAAATTATCAGCTAAAGTTTTTTTGAAAAGTGAACTATTTCTTTAAGATTCTTGAGCACAAATGCACCCTCATTCCCAGACCGAATCTGACATCTTTTAGCATTTTATTTAGTTAAGGTGTTCACTCTAAGTTAATTAGTACCTGTTTGTTTTCCAGATGTGAATAGTTTCAGAGTCTGAAATGCCATGGCGCGCTGCATGATCATCAAGCAAGTCAAAGAAATATTTGATTGCCAGAGGAACTGGCTGACTAGTGCTGAGAATAACCGTGAATAGATCATCCACAAACTTCTGCAGTGTACCCTACAGAAATACAAAGACAAGTTAACAGGTGTGCGCAAGTTCATTTGTTTTTATATTCAGCCAGAGATGTACAGGAACTGGTATGAGTTTGGCTTCTCTTATGTTTTTACCTTCTGGCTGTTTGAATGTGTGTTTGTTGAGATACCTTCATTGACAGTAGCCGTGTGAGATAGATTTCTGGTATGGTCTTGGCTCGTTCTCGTTCTTTTAAACTGCCTCGTCTGTGTTTGGGTAACTCTGGCTCCTCGCTGGCCTTAACTAGATGCCACAGCCTTACTCCTCCCTCATCTGCATCCTCTAGCATGGGCGTCTCTGCATAGTGAGGATGAACATGGTTTTAAAAAAAAATCAGTATATTCCCATGTTGAATTTAGAGACCATAATAAAAACGGTAGTTATGGTAAAAAAAAGTTAAATGTTTTTAAAAGTGAACTTATGTTTTGTACATTTTGTTTTTCAGTTTATTTTTTTGCAGGAAAAGATTCCAATGCTGTTTTTTTTTATTTCCCCCCCATTTTATAAGGAATGAGTGGAAGATACAGAGATTCCGACTACACTACCTAATGCACAGATCTATTTATACATCTAATTCTTTTGTGTTGCCTGTTGGATTTACTAAAGACATAAACAACTGAGTTCACATTACTGTGTCATGACGCATTTTGGTGTCAATCATTTTAATTTTTTTTATACATCACTGTATTGTTTCAAAAGTAATCTAAACAATCATGAGAAACAGAACCATGTTTTGTGCATGTGTGTGAACATTATAGATAGACACATGTACTGTACTCACTCTCCCCTGCAATGTAGTCATGGGTATCATGGTGAATATGTTTGCTATGGCGTGGAACCAAAGCAACAGTTGCTCCATCTGGAACCTAAAATCCCCAAAATATGTGAAGAATTAGAGTAAAAAAAATTAAAGTATACCTGTATATACTGCAAATAAGGTTTATTGCCAAAATGTACAGACTTTCAGCTGTTTGCAATGAACAAAACTAACAAAAGTAATTGAAATAGCTCAACACAACAAATGTTTCAAGTTGTTTCTGGAAATTCAACTGAAAATGCTACTTTTAATGACTTCTGCAGTCTCAAAATTATTCAACCCCCTGAACAGAATCCCTCACAACAGCACAAATCTGCAATCAGATTTCTATTGAAATGACTTAATTTCGCCTGCATAAATTTGCTGAGTGTGTCTGCAGAGTTTTTGTTCTGCGTCACAATCACCTTTGGGTTGCTTACTAAGAGGATTTCTAAGGTACCATTTCCATTTCCTGTACTCAAACATACCTTAAAGGGTTAGTTCACCCAAAAATGAAAAGTAAGTCATTAATTACTCACCCCCATGCTGTACCAACCCCGTAAGACCTTCGTTCGTCTTCGGAACACAAATGAAGATATTTTTGATTAAATTTGAGAGCTGTAAAACTACCACATAGACTGCCTAAGGGACTGGCTCTTGTCTTGACGGCCCAGAAAGTCAATGAAGAAAACGTTTAAATATTCCATGTGACTACCGTGGCTCAACTATAAGTTTATCAAGCGACGCGAATACTTTTTGTGCGAAAAAACAAACAAAAATAACGACTTTATTCGACTATTCCTTTTCTTCCTTGTTTGCCTGAAACGAGACTTCCATACGATTTCCACGACACATGCGCGAGAATTGCGATCTCCTTTAACTACTTCAGTTCAGTTCTCGCACATGCGTCGTGGAAATCGTATGGAAGTCTCGTTTCAGGCCAACAAGGAAGAAAAGGAATAGTCTAATAAAGTTGTTATTATTATTATTTTTTTTTGTTCGCACAAAAAGTATTCTCGTCGCTTGATAAACATATAGTTGAGCCACGGTAGTCACATGGAATATTTAAACATTTTCTTCATTGACTTTCTGGGCTGTCAAGAGGCAGTCCCTTAGGCAGCCAATGTGGTAGTTTTACAGCTCTCAAATTTAATCAAAAATATCTTCATTTGTGTTCCGAAGACGAACGAAGGTCTTACGGGGTTGGTACAGCATGGGGGTGAGTAATTAATGACTTAATTTTCATTTTTGGGTGAACTAACCCTTTAAGCTAATAAATGTCATCAGGATTACTAGAAAGCTGCAGTGAGTTTTTAATCAGGGTTGAAGCTATACTCTGCAGGACAGTGACCCTCCAGGACCAAAATTGCGTATCCCTGATATACATGAATAGCATTTTTCACAAAATTGACACTATATACGTTTACCAACAGCTTGGCTGCTTGATTGTGTCATACCTTATAATGCTGGAGCGTGTTGAGGCGTTTCCAGTTGCCCTGAACCACAGATGTTAGGTCTTCATCTGAGAGGATCAGGTGCCCTGCTACACCAGAGCGCCATTCTGGAAATTTCCAAAACAACATGTAAATTTAAAGACAGGAAAGGTTTAAAAGAAACAAATAAAGACTGAAAGAATTAATTAATGAATGAATACAACTAAAGAGAACACGGTGTGTTCAGATATGTAAGAAAGAGGGCAGACATGTGCAGCATGAATGTTCTCACCCAAGTCCACGGAGTCAGTATGTGGTCTATGAGAGTATGAGGTGCCCTTGTAGACCTGGTCCAGTATCTTCTCTTTCACCTGGGTTATAGTGTCACAATCTAAAACTTTAGCAGCAACTGGCTGAGCTTCATTCACACCTATTCCCTGCATCAAGACATCCACAGTCTATCGAAAAAAAGAATGAGAGAGAGAGAGAATTACATACTTTTGTAAATCACATTTTTATTATCTAAATGTTATGTCAGCACAATAAAATCTGTTTATAATTCTGTAATAAATCTGTGAAGTGATCCATTTATTCAAAAATGTCCCAGTTGTTATTTATTTTCATTTTTCTAATTGATATGTTTAAATTGCACATTTGAGTTAATGTAAATGAGTTTGAGTAAAATGCAATATTTGACAGCACTATGTTGACATTCACAGTTGCATAATTCTCACAAACCCCTAAATTACTGTATACAATCTCCTGCTTCTACCTGTCACATTAGGTTCAGGCTAGGATGAGGAGATGCAGAGGATCTAACTGTAGCTATAACAAAGATAATCTAAGCAGTGGTTGGACAGTAAGCAGGGTTCGAAATGACTTATGACTCTTGGGGGGCCCCCTAAAATGTATTTAACAGTGGGGTCCGATTCGTGAACGAGCTCATTCTTTTCAATGAGCCTGTTGAATCGATTTGCAATTTCAATCGCGATTCAATCGCACTTAACGATTCAATCGCACTTAACGAATCATCCATGGGCACATAGATTGATTTTGAATGTGCATTATTGAATATATATCTATTTATTGATTCTTTTAAGCTGCGGAATATTTTAGAGTTTTTTTTTTTTACTGAATATATATATATTTTTACTGATTTCTTAAGTTGTCAAATTGATATATTCCATGTCACTTTTGTCTTTATTCTTCTTTATTTATGTTTATTTTATGTTTTTTGTGGTTATGTTTATTATGGTTCCCATGAGTGTAAAACAAATTCCCCTTTGGGGCAATAAAGGTTTCATAAAGGTTTCATTCATTTGCGAATTGAATCCGATTGCAACTGTTCTTGAGTCAACAACTCGAGTCTCCAGTTAACTGAATTCAGAAGTCTAACTGAAAATTAGCCCAGAACCTGGAGATCCTTGGAACGTGAGTGCAAGCACAGCCTATGGCATGAAAAGTACGTCACAAATGTGGAATTTTAGGATTATTATAAATGAAAATCATATTTAGGTCACGACTGTCAGTAGTTTGAAGTGGAGTACTTAATACCCGAGTACTGGACTAATATTTTATAAGAGTATCTTATAAGTACTTGTTTGTGCACTTCATCCAACACTGAATCTAAGGGTGTATTTACACCCGTCTTGTTTGGTTGGATTGAATCGAACTCAAGTTCGTTTCCCCCCTTGCTGCAGACCTTTTAACCAGGTGTGAATACAGCAATCGCACTCGGGTGCGGACCAAACAACCGTACTTAGAAACAGCTGAAGAGGTGGTCTCGGCCCGGTTCCAAACGAACTCTGGTACTGTTCTAATTTCTGTCCAATGAATGGATGGTTCCTGCACACTTTTTAAAGTCAATTTAAGGCTTTTTAAGACCTTTTAAAGGAAAGAAATCAACATTAATACCATACATTAGGGGTGTGCAATATTGACAAATATATATCTTGATATTTTCAACGTTTTGTTGGTAATAATTAGATGATATTTTACTGATTGTGTTTTTGTGCTGGTGCCATGGCTGGTTTAGGCCTGTTGTTGACAGCAGACTCGCGAAGATATTCATATTTTCATATTCAATGCAGTGTTCAGTTCACAGCAGTGACAGAAATTATTAATTAATGTGCAATATTTGCCACTTTAAATCGATTTCCAGGGGCATTTTTACCTATATATGGACATTTTTTCTAAACTTATTTAGAGTTATGTTTCACGTTTTATGTCAGATACTAACATTCAAATTAAATTATGCAGTAATTTTACTTATTTATACAATAATACAGTACCACTTTTAGCAGTCAAATTAAATCATTCAATCAAAATCCATCTTTGCAGTGCAGAGGTGACACAGAAGCAGCATCAGAAGTGGCAAATACATTTACACTCCATTTACAATTGCAAAAACAAAGCTATGAGCTATATGTCACGTGAACAAGCAAATCCACAAAGATAGAATAGGCTAATAAAATAATAAGATATTTTTAATTTGGAAAACATTTAGATATGACTAAGTCGAAGCGTCATCTAAAGTTTAAGACCTTTCATAAGTAAAAATAAGACTATATAAGGCTTTTTATGGCCTTATATTTTAAAAATCTAATTTAAGACTTTTTAAAGCTTTTTAAGGATCCGCGGGAACCCTGCCTTAGCACACGTGTGACGTGTGGTCTAGGAAAAAAATGTTGGGTCACTTGCAAAAAAGGCAGTGTGAAAGCGAACCACACACACAAAATAAATAATAATAATTCAACATTGTATTTGGTCCAGACCAAAGCAAGTGAACTAGCAGACTTTCCTGGTGTGAATAAACCCTAAGGCAAAGCATGGCGAGACATAATACATAAAGACAATACTTGACAAAGAACTGAGAAAACAGATGTCAATAAATGAGGTAAATAAGGAACTCAAGACACAGGTGAAGAGAATTTGTAACCAATGAAAAACTAGAAAAGGGTACCAAGTAAACAGGAATTAAAACTAAGGAAATGACCCTTCCCAGTTTAAATCTAAGGCAGTACATGTATTATTATTTTTTTTTTTATAAAGATTATAGATAGAATAGAAGATAAAGTGTTAGTATTAATGGATCAAGTGTTGCAGAAAAAGATGAGTGTTCAGCCGTTTCTGCTATTGCTTCAGCTCCGTTGTGCTATTGCTAATTTGTTTATTTGTTCTTATTTAATTATTGTTTTCTTTAACAATGCTTGAAGTTTATATTAGGTAGGGTAGTTTTGCTGTGGTATTTTTGTTAAAACTATAAACAAAAGTTCCTTGTGTATGTGTTCTTTAGCCGGTTGAATTTTGTTCATGGTATTCAGCTGCAACAAAATGTCTTGCAAAAATACTTTTTTTTTTTTTTTTTTTTTACCTTATTAGAATCGAAACGTCAAAATTCAAATGACACCCAACCCTAGTAGAGAAACCACCCTTACAATACTAAGAAGACAGAAACCCTGGTTTAAGAAACTTACTGGTAGAACCATGTTAAATCTATATTAATGTTTACATTATTTTACATTGCTTATGTACTTACTATGGTAATAACAGCATTATACATAATAACAAGCAACTAACCCTAAACTGAACTCTAATCTCTAAAGTACATGTTAATTAATATCACTCATTTCTTATTTGTGGAATTACACTAGAACAGTAGCTATATTTCCATCCACCTATTTTCTTTTATAACTTTGTTTGTCTTATACTTAAAACTATTAAAAAAAACAAAGAAAATCAACATAATATATGGCTATATAAAAAATGCAGCTCAACTGAGGCTGATTTTTTTTAATCCGATAAAATGACACGCAAATAAACTACAATTGAAACACATTTACTGAAGAAATTACTCAATGCGAAAAAGAAAATGTAATTCGCCTAAAATAAAACACATGCAATTTTCCAATTTTGTGCAAGTTAAATTTGCAACTTTGGATGGAAACACCTTAAATTAAAGTGTAAACTAACTAATAGTGGACACAATTTGGAGCTAAGATGGAGAAAGTTTTCAGTAATATTAAAAACCTTTGTTACAAATGCTATTTTGGCAGAAACACTGATTACTAAATAAGACTAATGACCTAATACTGTGTATACTGTAAAAAGACATTCAGTTAACAAATTCTAACCAGAGTTCGGTATTCCAGATCCTCTCTCAGCAATCGGTTATCATTTAAGGTGTATTTGGCTTTGCCCGTCACTGCGTCCACAGGTCCTTTATCCACCTGGTGTTTAATCGCTCTGAAGAGCATGTACAGAGACTCACCAGCAGAATACTGAACACAGAGAGCACAAAATACAATCATTTATAACAATATGACATGGATAATCTTCTCAATAAAACACTAAGAAATGATTTTACAATTCCCTCAACTATCCTATAGTAGCAACTCTCCTAGTTCAGTGAATTTTAATGAAAGCATATGGGTACAAAAAGGTCTCAATAGGTTGATTACATGCTTGGACAAGTATTTTACATTGGTAACTGTAATCATATTTTTCAGAACTGAATATTTGTGTCATCGAAATAAAACAATTCCAAATGTACAATCTACAAAATATCAGATTTTATCCACAGTAAATATATGTACTAAAAAAAACAAACAATTCCACCAATTTTCATACACACCCTTAAGAAGGCATAGAGACAGATGGATATCCAGTTTGTCAGGAGCTTTTCAACTACTGTCTCAGTTCTGAAGAGAGAATTAAAGCCTCAATCATGCAGTCAATTCTGTTGATTCGTATTCGTACTTATAATGTCAGTTAATCCATCCTTCATACCTCCGCAGCATGAGTTTAGGGTTCTTGGCAATATACTGTTCCACAAGATCGTTCAACAGGGTTTTGAGTATGTCAGTGAAGTATTCTAGTTTGCTGTGAAGAGCCACAGTGAGCAAAGATGCCACATATCCTCTGTCTCTGGGTGAAAATGTCCTCTGGCTTTCAAGAGTGTGGATAAACTGTAAAGAGAATAAATTAAAAAAGGTGGAAAGCATTATCATTTAGTTATGTTAGTGTATTCATTCGCAGACTCGTACACAACCATTTACAGGTCTTACTTAAAAATACTGACCTTCAGAAGCTATATAAGATATTTTATGATTCCGATTAAAAAAAAAAAAAAAAAAAAAAAATTCCATTATATAACCTGATCATCCAGTTAAAAAAGTGTTCACCCCTGGCTCTCAATGCAGTGCGTTTCCTTTTTGAGCATCAGTAAATTTGTGCACCTTTTGTAATAGTCGTGAATGAGTCCCTCAATTGTCTTCAGTCACTGTTGGAAAGGGTTCACATATGCAGAAGACGCTGGTAAACCAAAGATTGTGCAGGTCCTAGATTTCTGAACCAATTAGGGACTCATGAACAACTATCACAAAACAGTTGCGGATCATCAGGGAATTAAAATTCAAGTGCATCTAAACTTTTTAATTGGGACATTTGTGTAAGTTCAATTATTTTTTCATGTGGACTATGTAAACATCTGTTTTGTGAAATAGCAGTTGCACTGTATTTTGAGGTGTCCTTGTTACAGTGTAATTACACAAATAGGTTCTGTGACATTTTCATCTGTACAGTACACATGCATCAGATGGATGTTTCTGGCCATTGATTGCGCCATATCTTGCTGTGTCACACCACACACTTTGCATTATAAGACGCTTTTTAGGTGTTAGTTCACACTACCTTTGTGAGGAACAGTTTGCTGTTGAGGAGATTAGATAACTGAATGAGTCCCTGCTCCACCGTGGCCCGTCGACACTCCTGCACGTCCAGGTCTCTGTGAAGCGGAGACTCACGATGTCCAGGAAAAAAGATGCGTTCAGCATACATACGGTACTCCAAGAAAGGAATTCCTGATCCTACCAGATCACTCGACATATCCATCATTTCAGTCATCAGGTCTGAGAAGATTTAACAGTCAAATGTACCAAGGTCAGGCTTACATGAGGGACTGTTGAATGGCAACTACTGCACTAGATCATTTTTTGTTGTTTAAATGTTTCAAAATTAAATCAACTGCTCAGAAGCTGGGGATCAAGTGGGCTATGTTTTGACTAATATTTCCAAATGGTATCATTTTATTTGCTATTTTAATCACTGTGAAATAAACAAATCATTGGAGAAAGTGTATATTTTCGTTTTTAGGAATGACGGGTTAGACTGGTACTATTCTTAAACTTAATATTAAAATCTTATAACTGTCCTCTGGTCTTATCCTAAATGCACCTGTAAATTACCTGTGAACTCTTTTTTGCAGCGGTCTCTCACACTGGTCTCTAGATTCTCCAGCTGGATCTGAACTTTTTTATAATCTCTCAGAGCCTGTTTACTCTTTCTCCTAAGAGAAATAGGAGAACACAAAATCAGTTCCATTCATACATTGCATTATTCTTGCATTCAGGGATGGACTGGCCATAAGTAGCAAATGTACATCCGACAGAGTCAAAATTAAATGTTCAATGTCCAAATGTTGAAAAAAAAGCTACAGTCTTTATAGGGTACTGACTTTTTCACAGCACTGTATAAGCACATTCTTTCATATTACATTTCATACACACCTGTATATAAACACGATGATAAGTACAATAAGAGCAACAAGAGACGCAACTGCTCCAACCCCGATTTGTGCCACCAGTGGAAAGATGGAGTGACTGAGAGAATCATACTGCACTTGTCCCAGTGAAAAGTTCAGGTTTCCCATATGCACCTGAATACAGACAGACACACTATTATACACCACTGTTCACGCAATGCAATATTTACAATGCAAGTTTACAATCACACTTTTAGAAAAGATGATGTAAGTGCAACTTGAACCTTGTAAAGCCTGACATGAAATAATAGTCCAACATTTTTTTTAATGGAACATTAAATAGACAAAATCTCTCTCTCTCTCTATCTTTCTATTTCATACATCAGGCTTTTATGGCTCATATTATGATGAATATGGAGCCCATGTTCGAGAGAGAAGAAACACCTCAATTTCATTTTTGTCACTGTATCTCCCAATAATATGTCTTAAGCCCTATTCGCACGGGATTAGTATTACCTGGGGACCACGTGTTAATTTGAAATTACCCACCCACATCTGAATTTCGTGTGGCGGGCACCCGCACGGGATAAGCGAAGCCTGTGAATTTACTCAAATATTACTGACTTATCTCCCGGATATGATGTTATTAGGCTATAGCTTTGAAATGTCTTGTCGTCTGTATATAATAAACAGAAGAATTGTCCTTACCGTATGCTGCTAAACATGTCATTCATCTCCATCAAATCATTCTTTTTGATTGTGCTCTTCTGATGGTTTTCAGCTTTCTCTTTCTGCAAATTGTATAGTTGTACTAGCGATAGGACCCCGCACCCAAAATACTATCAAAACACTCCCACTCAGCCTCTATTCTTCGCGAAAGATGGATAAAAAGGCGCAGATGAAACAAAAACCTTGAAAAAATGATATACGATCCAGCCAAATCACAGAGATGTCGATTCGCACGGGACTAATATTATCACAGGACCTCGGTGTTCGGCGAAATATAGTAGGCAATTTGCAAGGGAATTTTTACTTTACATGGGATTAAGATCACAGACAATCTCTGCAATTATTACAAATTACTACAGGTCACCAGATAATACTAATAGGGCTTTAGTAAGATGATATTTAAATGCTTGGTTCACTGGGGTTTTTATTGTGGGGTAAAAATAAATAATGCAAAGCAGTACAATGACGATTGCGAAATGTACATATAAACATTCTTTAAAAGCCAAATTTGTCAGACTTTTCAGCAAAGTCAAGTCACGTTCATTTTAAATACAGTGATGTTTCATTTTTGTTGCAAATAAGTAATTTATTATATCATATAATGGTCTCAATCCAGGCAGATTTAAAAGTTAAATTTAAGCAAAGTTTTAATCATGTTGATAACTTAGAGTTAGCTTAAGAAGTGTGTGTACAAAATCTAATACAGTAGGCTTTATAGGGTCAAGCTCAGTCTGTGTGTGTTGAGAAGGTGTTGGCTTCAGGCTTACTATAAATTCTGGAAAAGCGTCAGCTCCCTCTTGCTTGCGTCCATGTCTGAGAGAGAGCGGGGGCTGCTGGGGTGGTGGCTCACAATAAAGGTGATTATGTGTCAAAGTTTTAACAGTACAAACCCCCTCACCAATCAGTGCCACTACTTCCTCTTTAAAGATGGCCAAGTCTAAATTCTCACCCTGCAGAAATAATTGAAAAGGGATACAAGAAAAGGTTAAAAGAAGAAACATGAGATTAAGCTTTTAAACATGAGTAATACGTAATAATTGGGTGATGATGTAAAGTGACCTAGTCAATATCGACTAAATAGAGCACAGGATTTTGCACCACCCTGAGGGTGTATATTTTACGATAATGACCTGTATGTTATTTTAAAGCAATGTCCAAAACAATCAACCAAGCAAAAAGACAAAAACTGCAGTAATATTAATACTGAAGTCCCCTGAGATAATTTTCAAAACAATTGATAACTGATTTGCAAGATGGTACCAGTTCCATTTGTATGAAATGAGAGATCCGCGAGATATAGGGCCGCTGAATGCCGAGATAGGACAATTAGACTCACGGGAATGAGAAAATTAGCCCATCAAATTTAGTTTTCAATATTGACTCATGATATTAATACAAAAATTAAATATAAAAAAAAAAACGATGCCTTTGAATTTATAGTTTTCATGTGACATCACATCCTTGAAGGAATGCCCACTTGGAGGGAAAAACAAGGCTCCATTGACCGCCAGTTGTTTTCCGCAAGTTTGTACCGAGTACTAATGTAGTGAGATGGTGATATTAAAAGACCAAATTCAGTATACAACCTATTGATGATGAAACCTATTGATGATGCATGAACCAAGAATATAAAGGCACCACGCAAAGTTTCATGTTAAGCATTTCATCAAAAAAAAATAAAAATAAATAAAACATTATAAAGAAAACTTAAACAGTTAGCCAATTGCATTCATATTCTGGGCACTTCGGCTCACCTGATAAGTATCATCAGTAAGGTGTAAACTGAATTTGATCTTTTAGTACATTAAGGTACTTTAATGGTTTTTGACGTTAAAGGGATAGTTTACCTAAAACTGAAAAATCTGCCATCATTTAGTCACCCTCAAGTTGTTCCAAACCTGTATGATTTTTTTTCTTCTGCTGAACACAAAAGAAGATATTTTGAAGAATGTCAGTAACCAAACAGTTGATAGGGCACACTGACCCCATACAATGGAAGTCAAAGGGTTCATCAAAATATTCTTTTCTGTTCAGCAGAAGTAGGACATTCATACAGGTTTGGAACAACATGAGGATGAGTAATTTTTTGGGTGAACTCCCTTGAAATACTGTGGGGGGCTGCTTTATATGTATCGCATATGCCCAACCTAGAATTCTGTTCACATATCTGGTTTTTCTTCTTTTGAGAGGTGATCTAAATATTTGTGACTTGTAACAGATGAAAAATGGACAGGCCTGTACTGCAGTTCTATGGATGTTTTGTCCGCCAGGTCTCCGCGCGTTACTGTTAAAACAGAAAAAAAATGACAACAGAAAAATCGACACTAACCTCCACAGATATGACTGATCCAGGTTTGTACCGATATGGTTTTGTGGGATCACCATGGTTCAGCGGGTGCAGGGTTGGGTTTGGCTCATAGGTGAAAGGTGATTGGCTGACAGAGTTAAAGTCAAAGCGCAAGTTATCCAACAAAAACTCAACCTGAATATGACCACCAACTACTTGAGGGTCTACACCAGGGCTCCGACACAACAACAGAGAGGAGGTTTTCACCTCACAATGCTCCTCAAACTACAGAGAAATGAAAACAAGAGAGAGAAACAACCACTTAATAGTGAGTGGACAATTCCGGCAAAATGTTTCAGACACAATGATGTTTAACTTTAGAGAATGTTCACCAAAGACTTAAATCTATAATACTAATACAAGAACTTTCATAATAAAATAATATGTGGATTTAAAAGATCTTAAACCAATTGTGAATCAAAGAGATTTATTTTAGAACAAAGTTTTTCTTGCTTTTCCCACCTCAAAGTCACCTGGGATATAGATCAAATTTGTGAATTGTATTAATGTACTTTGAATTTATGTTTACTAGTTATTAGTCATTTGCAGATGCACCTTTAATAATTAACCTTTTTTGGAAACATCTGGTGAATGTTACATTTAAGAAGCCAAAGAATAAAATTCAATAAAAAAAAAATAAAAAAAATTGTGAAATTGAAGGCATAGGTTATTAATCTGTGGGCTGGAAATTAGGGAACCATTTACTAATCTGTGCATACAGTTATAAACAGAGTATAGATCTGCAATTAAACTTTAGGTTTGTGTTGTGTGTAGTTTAAGTAAGGTTGAGATTAAGCAAGGTTAAACTGAAAATCACCTGTTTGAATGAACAGTGTGTGTTTTCTGTACAGTTTGCTTCTTGCACTTGCACATCTGTTACATTCCTAGTTTTTCTCCGTCGCCTGCGCTTCTTCCAAGGGGGAACGGAGTCCGGAGGGACCACCATTACTTGCATCCGAGGCTTCTGTACCACATCCAAATTATGGCCCAAAACTTTAATTACACGCCCTCCACTGCAGCAAGGACGAAATGTTAAGTGATTTACAAGAGCAGAAAAAAATAACATACAAAAGTCCATTTTAAAAGAAAAGCTACTAGACACAGACGCAAGTCTATACGATTTTTTTTTTTTTTGCACATTTTAGGGTCAGCCAGACAAAAAAGTAAAGCTTGCTGTATTCATTAAATGTCACTTTGAATGAAAAAAATAAATAATTGTAAATGTAATAAGACTGGTAAAACTCAAAACACACACCTGATAAAGCTCTTTGAGGGCATAGCATGTGTGATGTTGGGGTCAGGGGTATAGTAATAGCCATTGGCATGAAGATGTCGCTCATTTTTTCCGTACCGCACAGTCACCCTGTGCTCTCCTGTCCTGTTACTAGCACCAGTCAGACACTCAATGGTGTCCTCCTGAACACCTGATATTCTGGAGAGGGATAAAAGAACTTCCTAATCACAGACAATACTCAAATTACACCAAATTACAGGTGACAGTTTTCCACAGTGATACGTGGCACTTACAATGAACAGGGCACATTCCCTAGTAGGACACTGATATCAGTAACACGACCAGTCAAAAGATTTCTGCCTTTGATTGTCAGAGTTGTTCCTCCTGCCCGTGGCCCTTTTTGAGGAGAGATTTCTATCAGCTTAGGGTCCTTAAAGGATGAGACGAGAGATACAATCAGAGGAAATTCTGCATCCAAGAACTAAAAAACTACAACAATTCCACAACAACCATCTTCACATAACAACAATGCACAAATGCACATTATAATCAGATGGAAAACAAGACATGGAGAGATAACAGAGGGAGGGAGGATGTAAGATATGACTTTAGGCATTTACAATGTTTAAGAATGTGGTGAAACCTTAGAATTAACCTTTTAAGCTGCATCAATGCACAATATGTATAGTATAAACACTGAAATTGAACCTTAAATAATCTCTATCCCACAAAACGTACTTTGGCTCAAAAGTCTGATCTTTTACGCACAGGCAAAATTACTATTCGTTATATATAAAGAGATCATTTACTCATCCTTTGTTCCAAACCTGTTTGACTTTCCTTTTTCTATGAAACGTAAAATTAGACATTATGAAAGCTGTACTGGTCACTATTTTCTATGCACTTACAATAAATGGGGACTAGAGTGTTCAAGCTTGAAAAAGATGTATAAAAGTAGTCCACACAACTCGTGTGCTATATGTCCAAATCTTCTGAAGCCATATGGTATGTTTTTGAGACTATCAGGCCGAAATATAAGTCATATCTATTTGCAACACAAAAGCTATTCTTTATGATATTCTTCGGTGCTTTTTGTTAAATACTTTACTTTCATTACACAGAGTTGTATATACAGTGGCCAGAATGGAAGACAAAGTCATATGTTTTTGGAACAAAATGAAAAATGGTAAGTCATTTTTTAAATATAGCTAGGTAATACTAAAATGCAAGTTAACCTGGTAGCTGAATCTCTGACTTGACAGGCCAAAGCCTCCACCAGAGACTTTCACTGAGATGTGCCCAGACTTCTCCTCTCCACTAGCTGTAGTTGTACATATAATTCTAAAGAATGGAGAGTAAGAAAAAAACACAAATGCATGAGACAAAGGAGAAAAAAAATCCAAATGGCCAAATATTATTTAATCAGTGTAATAAATGAACTGCAAGTACACTATGGTGTTTACCTGGTGGATATTTCATATAGATGTGGTATAACAGTGCAAGGAACATCCGCAACAGTCACAGACTGAAGGATATCCTGAGCTTTCTGTCCCAAGTTAGACCCAGAAACAGTTAAAGTAATGCCTCCTTCCACCAACCCTGACAAAGGCTCCACCTAGGGATAGAAAACCAACATCTTAAGGACTGATTTCCAATATGTTGGAATTTATTTACATTTACACAATTGGAAGTGTTTATATCCAAGGTGACTTACAGTGCTTTTAAACATATCTAGTGTATAAGTCATCTGAAATTAATGATTACTTTTTATAATTATGCATTAATTATTGCTCATAGGGCCAGCCTGCACCAGCGCAAACCCTTCTTTTGGAATTAAAAAAATCTGGAGATTCTGTAATCTTTCAGAAGATGCGCAATAGCACTGCCTACTATATAACAGTGAAAATACGGAAATTCGGAAAACAGCATCAATGGCCGGGAAGCGTTGTCGCATAAATGACGGTAAATTCTGTCAATGGCGGGGAAAGAGTTTATCTGTTAAATGTATTCATAATGGCTTTATGTCTTTGGAAGGTACAAAAAGGCACAGCATAATGTAGCTATTGCAAGTCATAAAGAGGGTATGCATTGACATCACTTTCCAGCCAGAATACACCCCCTCAGCCGGACTGGCAAAAGATCTTCTGCGTGACTAGATTTAATAGGGGAAAGTGTGTTAAACGTGAGTAAAACAAATATCAACGAATATCAGTCTAAAATAAAGGCTGGACTCAATATTGTGTTCTTTACAACTTACCAAAGATCAAATGATCCATGGCAATTGACATGCAACCAGGAATAGTGTTTCCTGACATTTATATGTGCCCGATTCGATGCTGGGGAAATACATAAAGCTAATTTGCCTATGAACACTTTATATAAATACAATATAGATGGGTCTAAATCCGGGTGTTCGCTTATTTCAATGTTAAAAACGTTTATAGTATTCGTCAGTGTTTATTTAAAAATATCCAATTATGCAAAATATAAGATTGTAAATATTTAATTGATGAATTGTCAATAGAATACATAACAATACAATATATAGGGTATGATTTTACCCCAAAATTCGACATATTGACACAAAATTATGTTTTGCTGCATGGAGTCTAGTTGATTCTATAAACTGCAGGGAACCATTTGTTTATCTGTTCTGTAGCTTTCGGCAGTCTGTAAAAATATACTTCAGATTTCTTGTCAAATCTATTTGTACAGTCAATCTCAAAGCTCTTTCCCGTTTTAGATGCGTTTTGTGTGTTTTTTGTGGCATTCACATCAATGCTGCCACTCCGGCTAGTGACGTGCATACACTCTTTGCAGACATACACACAACTTCCACTCCCTCAGACTCTCTATATGTGTGTGCAGAAGGTAGAAGGGGAATAACAGAACAGAGAAAAGAAGAGCCTAGGGCCCATTTACACCTGGCATTCAGAGCCTTTTCAGTTGATCCGATTACAAGTAGTCAGTGTTATACGAAAGCGAAAATATACGAAATTTATTTTGTTTCTACTTGTCTTTCTATTAAAGTTTCTTAGAATTTAAAAACTGCATATATACCAAAGATGCTGCATTTAGTCAAATTTGAGGAAATGCAACAAACCAAATGAATCAGAGGAGCAGGACAGGTCATTTGGATGTGTTGAGAACAGGAACCTCTATAAACGCAACCGGTCCCACACCACACACAGCTGTACTTCTGATCTGCAGTGTGACAACGGCTACAGTCCGAGTGTCCAACTGTGCAGTTATATAACGTCACTGCAATAGAGAAAGCACACAGAATCATAGTGACCATTACAACACAGTTATAACAGACAGAGTAAAAAAAAAATCAAATACATGAGCGAGATTCAGTAACTGGATTTTCAAAGAATTGTGCAGCTTTATTTAGCTACCCTTCAAACAAAAACAGATTATCAGGCCACAGGCATGACTAAGCAGAGCAGGGGGAGATGGACAATAGGAGATATTATCAAGAAAATAAAAGGAACATTCCATAAATGCTGGTGTTCTATTACTACTTTGTAATTTTCCTCTTTGAACCATTCAAGTTATTGAACACCAGTCATTGACTAAGAAAAAAAAAAAAATCTAACAAATATTTTTCATTTATATTCATTAATATAAAAGGAACATTAATCACTGTTGTACATACAACTTTTAAATATATATATATATATATATATATATATATATATATATATATATACTATGTGCGTTCATACATTTTGCACAACAGCTCATCATGAGCATCAAAAGAATTATACTCACCATAAAGATCAGTGCTGTCAATATGAAAAGTGTCTTTTCTCTTTACATACACCATGGCATTATACTCTCCAACTAGCTCTTCATAAGAATACTATAGAACAGAGTGGAAGAAAGAGAGAGAACATTTTACATTGCATCACTATCATCTGCAAACTGCAGTCTTTTCTCACAGAAGTATACATTTAAAACTGCTACATTGTTGTTGTTTTTAGACAGCATTGTAGGGAAGTGACAGGTTGGTTCAAACCAGGAGAGGGAAGGATCAGTATTAATAATATTACTGAAAAAAAAAGCACTGGAGAACCACAAGAACAATGGAAACCAATTTACAATAAGGGTGGGACTAATCCATTAACAAATCAGTAACTAAGACAACTTAGGAAACCGGAATCAACACAGAGAGGGAACAACAGGAAAAAAATGGAACAGAAATGCATAGTGTTGCATAGAAATGCATAGACAACAGAAAACTGTAGTGAGAAACCCAGAGAACACACATCGGAGCATCCAAAAAACCAGGTAGCCATAGCAGAGTAGAGATTTTTCTGAATTGTGTTGACGCAGTACCTGGTGGGCATGACAAGTGATGTCGAACAGCAAAGGGTTTGCCTCATTCAGCGTCACATCTGCATCAACAACCACAGTTTGCCCCTCGATAACCAATACACACTCATACACCAGGTCTTGGTCCTAGGAACAAGTGTGTGTTTAAAAACGTTTTTTTTTAAATGCAGATGTATATTATTTAAGAAAGAAGTGGGTGTTTACCTGATAGAGATGCAAGTTTCGGGCCAGCAGAGAGATTTTTCTCTGAGTTAGGACAGGAAGCAGAGAGGATCCTTGAATCTTCTCCACACACGGGCAGGCTGATGCCCCCCAATTGACAAATGTGCCTTCATCAGCCTGTAAAAAAAAATAAATAAATATTAAGGTCAGTTACAAGTCATAAGAACATATGGCATGTCATCTAGTGAAAAAGAGGGAGTAGGAAAAAGTGTTTACATTTTTTTTTTTTTTCCAGTGTAGCAAATTCTGCATAAAGTACTAGCATAAGGTAGAAGAATAAACATTTATTTCTGGGTCAGCATATTTTCTTGTTTAATTTCATGTTTAAAGTTTATTTTCAAACTTTCATGTATAACAATAGAAATATGGTGGAGCAGATGGGCAGTTTTTTTTTTTTCATTTCATTTTATTGTTTATTTTTTACAGGGACAATGCACAATTAAAAGTAATTGCACCAGAATTAGCTAATAGCTAGTTTACATCTGCTGTCCCTGCAGTGTAAAAAGCTAGTTTCAATCATTTAAAAAAAATGTTTTTGCTGTTGTACAATAAAATGTTTTCTTTTTGATCTTGTTATTGGATTACAGTGCTTTAAAAATAAAAATAAGGTTAAGTTAAGGGAAAGAGTTGAATGGAGTTTATATACCAAACAGAAATGGAAATAATTTACTCATAAATAAACAAATTATTAGCTATTATGTAATATTACATTTGTTGTAATTTTTAGTTGTGCATTTTAAGGTCTGATATTTTGCAATCCAAACAATGGGCATAGACTATTTAAATAGTTTATGGTACACTTCTGAGCAGCCATTTCCAGTTTCATAAGCCATATAAAAACATTGCATTATGCTTCTTGATGTTTGTCGTCATATAGAACATCAAGTGTAATATGAGAGTACAAAGAGGAATTTGTATTGTTATTCCAAACAAAGCCTCACTAAACTGAAGTAACTAAAGAAAGAAGAGTAGTTTTTTTTGTTTTGCTTATAAAATGTAAAGATAAATATTGCTTGGTATCAATTGTAAATGTTTGGACTCACCGGTAAATCTGCTGAGTCATACTGGTAATCAGCATCCATGTCTGTACTCTGTAGATGAAGGTATACTGGGGGATCACTGTCTGATTCTCCATCCCCTGATAAGATCGTAGCTGCAGAAAATGTTGCGTTGTCGTTTTCTGCCAGTTCTACCTCCTCGGTTTCATCTGGAACTAAATCAGCCTCTGCACGGTCAGTGATGATGATCCTATTCTCTGAAGCCATGGTAGTTGACGCCCTCTCAGATATAGCCAAAAAGTCATTGGATTCTGAATCAGACATGTCTGGTTCTGGCTTTGAAGGTAAAGCTGTAGTTTGGGTTTCATTTGTCAAATTCAGCATTTCTGTCAAAATGAGAGGGGTGCTGGTGAGCAAAGTATCATCTGTTATTGGCTCCATTAATGGTGGCAATTCTGTGAGAGTGATTATCTCGGTTTCAACTGATGTCGATGGCAGTGATATTCTTTGCTCCTCAGCAGCTTCAATGACTGACGGCAACTCCGTTTTTACAACTGCTTCAAAACTGGAAAGAGTAACCACATCAGTGTCGGTCTCCCCCAGAGCCACTGATTCAGTCTCTGTAACAAGCAGCTCTTTTTCTGAGAGAATCTCTTCAAGCAGAGAGAGCGTGGAAGCTGGCTGTAATGTGGTAGCCAAAATCTCAGCTGTGGAAGAGGGGAAAAAGGCACTTGTGGGTGCAGCAGATGGCTTGAAAGTGGGAGAAATCTGAGTTGATGGTGTTGGTTTCACAGGTGCAGGAGAGGTTAAAGATTCCAGTGTAGAAGTTATAGTTTCAGTTATTGAGGCAGCAGTAGTCTGAGTTTTAGTATGAGCCATGGTTTCAGGGACTTTGTGTGTTGTGACTGGTGAGGTCATGAATGCAGCTTTAGAGGCTTTGGTTGCAGGAGGTAGGGTGGGGAGAGATTTCCACTAAGAGTGAAAAGTGCAGGAAAAACCAAGAGAGGCACAACAGTAAAATAAATAAATAGGTACATATAAATGGCTATTAAAACTTTATCAAATGATCTTGGTATCCAAGATCCATATCCATAATTACGTAACCATATTTGTACACTGCAAAACAATTATTTAGTTGTGATTTTGAATCATTTAAAGACCCCCCCTGTGGTTCAAGTATTAATGTTGTTTATTTGTCTATGTGGTGTTTTAATATGCTTTAAGACAATCCATGTATAAATTCATCAGTCTAAACTATTGCCAAGTATTTTTCTGTTGAAATGACAAATCGCTTACATTTAGCAATATAGTGGGTGAATTGTGTATACGTATATTATGGTGTACTATATGCCTTTACCACTGACGTTCTAAGTTGGTCAAAGCATTTGTAAATATGCTAATTTTTTAGAGTGCAGCTGTCTGAGATGCTGAACGGGAACATGGTTTGTGCATAGCAACACATTATTAGTTTTTTGATAGCGTAATCAAGCAAAATGTGTCTGATGTAGAGAGCAATACATAAATTGCATTACCATTCTGATACATCAACTTGTAGACGAGCCTGTATAATTCACTCTTCCACTTCTTCTGAATCAGTTTCTGATTCAAACATACATAACTGAATTAAAACAGTATTTCCACTCACCATCATGATTCATGTATAGCGTTTACTACAGTAAAGTTGACAGAGTAGATCATGTATTCTGAGCTGGATGATTGAGATGAGGCGGGGACTAATATTCATATTCATGGATCCACGTATACTTGAAGTAAGAGTGTAGAGTCAAATTCAAGCTAATTTAGAGCATGAATAAATGTCATGTTGTTGATCAAAGATGAGTTGAGGGATAAAATAATTGACTACAGAGGGACTTTAAATTCATGCATGTGGCATGCTTTTATCCACAGCATTGCATTCAGAGTACACTATTTATTTGTTTATTTATTTTTGATCAGTTTTTGCTTTTCCAGGGTATATGCCCATGACATTGGTGTTGTTGGCACCATGCTCAACTGTTTGAGCTACAGGAACTCTCTATGCTAATTTATGAAACATAGTTTTGAAATCTCAAGCTGCGATATTCCTATAATTGCATTTTCTTTGCTGGCTGCAAAAAAAAAAAAAAAAAAAAAAAATTCGACTAGTGTAGTCAGATTCATAAATTAATGACTCTTCTGGGCGTATGGGCCAGATTCACAGAGAATGTTTTTGAAGATATACATTCTAAATAACAATATGTATTCTATATATTATAGTCTTAAGTAAATAGTTCCATCAGAATTATCTTTTCATAAGAATAACATGCAGGCGGTTTAGTCTGAATGTGTTTGTCTACACATTCAGCATGCAACACAACAGAATAAAAACTTAAAGGGATAGTTCACCGAAAAATGAAAATTCTTTCATCATTTACTCACCCTCAAGTTGTTCCAAACCTCTATGTATTTGTTCTGCTGAACACAAAGGAAGATATTTGGAAGACTGTTTTAATCAAACAGATCTCAAATTGAAATCTGTTTGATTAAAACATTCTTCCAAATATCTTCCTTTGTGTACATCGAGCCCGTTCTCATCCCAAAGCGCCATATAGGACGCTTTTGCAAAAGCGTAAATATCCAACGCACATGGCACCCTTTAACGTGAAATGAGACGCAGATATATTTGGGCAGAAGGCGCCCCCTAGTGGTCTAACCCTTACCCTACACCATACCTAAACTTAACCATTAACCGAAGCATCTCATTAGACGTTAAAGGGTGCCATGTGCGTTGGATATTTACGCTTTTGCAAAAGCGTCCTATATGGCGCTTTGGGATGAGAACGCGTTGGTACATCAGAACAAATAAACACATAGAGGTTTGGAACAACTTGAGGGTGAGTAAATGATGATAGAATTTTCATTTTTGGCTGAACTATCCCTTTAAAACTTGCAAATATATTTGTCTATCATCAAGAACATTATTTGAGGATTATAAATATCCTTTTTTTAAATACTGAAAACAAGAAAATAGACGTTACGAATAATTTTAATCTTCCTCCTGGTTCTTTTAATGAGTTGGTAAACTATTATTTTTCTTTTACCAATTATTTGTAGTTTGGAGCAATTATTTGGGAGAGGGGATGGGAGTTAACAGAATTTTGTAGGAAACACTGTTCTCAAGTTTAAGACATGTAATTATCACAATACAACACAGATGGAAAGTACGGCTGGTGATGTAATGACTTACATGTTCGTTATAGATTATCAGTCCCTCATCGCACACAGCCTTGTGGGTACACATATGTTGCTTTACGCACCAATTGCATCCCCAGTGACTCTGCACACAACCATGGCAGCTGTGAAGGAAAGGAAGGAAGAGCAAGGAAGGAAGGATTAACTTGATCCAAAATCATTAACTGGAGGTAGAGCATTTAAATTAAAAAAAGATACAAAAAAACTCTTAGTATGATTACGGTGGATTTTACAATGATGCATAGAGTCTTCGACAAGGGTAGAATTCTGTTTGTTTGTGCCTGAATATGTGTGTTTGCAACTCACGGCATGCTTCCCGCAAGCTGTTTGACTGCTGTGCAATCATAAAAGGTGAATCCCCGAGAAGTCACAACAACATCATGGAACCGCAGAGACAGAGTGACTGTAAAAAAATCTGATTCAGAAGAAAAAAAAGATGATTTAACAAGTAGAGTTTATGACTGTTACAGATCCATCACTGTTTTTGCTAGTCACTTTCATCTGACCGGTTGTGTCTCACTGCTTGCTCTTTGTAGACACAAATGCAAAAGCTATGTTTCAACTTGCTTGGATTTCATCTATCAGATTTGAAGGTTTAATTGATTTCACTTGGGGGTTTGTGAAATGACATAGGAAAAGTGACATTAAACTGTCACCCTCACGTTTTTCCATTTTTTTCTGTGGAACATGATAGAAGATATTGGGGTCCAAAACAAAAAAGACATTTTTCTGAATCTTTTGTGAAGCAAAAATTAAAAAATGCATACAGGTTTGAAACAATATGAGCATAGTTAAATGACAGAATTTAAAACATTTAAAGGGATAGTTCACCCTAAAAATGAAAATGAAGTCAAATCACGTCACCATTTATATAGCACTTTTAACAATACAGATTGTTTCAAAGCAGTTTTACAGTGATAGTCAATAGTCAAGATTTTTGTTAAATACTAGTAATTTCGTTTTTTCACTCGCATTTTTAAAACAATAACAGGCGAAGCTTGATTGGTATGAATAAATAAAAAGAATCAGCATTGCTTAGAGTGGATTAGCAAGTTAGATCCATCTCCTGTGGGAGGTCCTAACAGGTTTCTATTGTTTGTAGCCCATAGGCTATGTCTTCATGCACAAAGTTCCGTCTCACAGACAGAACTTTGGGTTAAGATTGTTGAAGGGCGACATGCTAACATTGCTGCTGAAGGACTGCTACACTACAAACCTTCAATAAATTCTTCTCCCCACAAGAACTGGCAAAGCTTACTTATTTTATGTATTGGAGAAATCCAATACATTGGCGAGCCACCCAAACCACTGTTTGACCAAATACACCAAAATTTAACAATTATGAAGGAGAGTGGAACTATGGGAGATGTCGTTTTCACCATCCAGGGATGCATAATTCACAAATCATATCAATTATATATCAGCTAATAATTTTTTTTTGTATTACCTTTGTATTATCGTTTTTGTATTACCTGTAAGTTTGATCCCACTATGTTATGTCATCATAATGAATTAGCTACATGGAACTTGAAATGTAATGTTATATTAGCCTGTTACTATTATGTGACTATTTGTCAAATGATTTGGTGGGTTAATGCTGTGCAGTTTTACACGTTTAAAACAATCGTACTACAAGTATATTTGAACAAACCCACAATATTTGCAAGGAATGTCTAAATATTTTTGTGCAACACATACTAAATTTCCCTGCCATAGACTTAGTTTACACGAGAACGCTTGCGGGTGAAAACGTAAAAATATTTTATCGGATGGGCTTTTCGTTTACACGGCGACGGCGTTTTTAAGGCTTAAAAACGCAAAAAAGTGAAACCACCCTCCAGAGTAGAAATCTTAAAAACGCTCCACCGTTCCCGTGTAAACGGTAAAAATGCAAAAGTCTGCTTGACAGTGAAGGTTGTACGCAAGCGAGTGGACTTGGTGGTGTTGTAGTATGCACTCCTAGCCGCCTGAAGTGCATACTACATTGAATTTCACACACTTTTGCGTCACCGTTTGCACGTCGATTTCCCACACAAAACGCTCGTCTAAACGCAGAATAAAAAGTGATGACGCAACGCCACTTTTGCATTTTCTCTTCAGAATCGTTTCCGTGTAAACATAGCCTTAGTCACCAGACTTGATAAAAAGCATTAATGAAGAACAAACAAAGTGCAATATAACTGTAGTGTACAATAAATAATATATTTGCTTAATTACTTATCTATTAAAACACATACAAGTGTCTGTCAACAGATCAAGTCCAAGTTTGTCGCGAAGCTCTCTCCATCTCGAAAACGCAACGTCTATTTTGATCCTTGTTTTATTTCTCAGTTTTTCCCAAAGCCTGCTTGCCTAAGTTGACCTATGTTTAAGTATTTGGGGATTTTCTGTACTTGCCAATCTACAATTGCGTCGCAAACCATGTCATGATGACTGAACGACAAAACAGCGGCCTCTTTTGAGAAATCTATACATTGTATCTATCTATAGGCAAAAACCGAGGATAGCGCGGATATTACGTCATTGATAGGCGACAATGACCAGGGACGAGCAATTATTAAAAACTGGAATTTCTCTGGATTTACAAATCCTTCGGAACTTTTGGGATAATGTATGTATACAGCTGCATGAAATATATGTGTTTTTTGAATATTTTATTACTAAACATATTTTGGAAGTTAGGGCAATAGACCTTAATCAGAGTAGCACAATATTTAATTTGACAGGAATTTGAAAAACAAGGCTGTGAGGGATAGAAGTACACTGCGTTCAACTGATTGCTCTGTTGTTTAATAACATAACGATTGTCAAGCTGACAAAATGTCTTTCTGAAGAAAAAAATTTCATAAAACAGTTTTGAAAGTTGAAAAAATTACGTTATCTATGACTCCTCACAGTCTAGTTTTGAGCTGTATTAAATTCAACATGGCGTCTTAACCTGAGGTCTATGCAATCCATCTTAAAATGTCCACCATCTGTCAAAACATGCTCCTCTTTCAGACTGGTTACACTGGTATGATCAAAACAGAATACCGGATCAAGTGTTTGTGTCAAAAGGATGACACCTTTTTATGGGTCATGAACATCTATGTTTGTCTCTATTATTATGTTTTACTGGCCAGGCCGCCTATGTCAAAATAAAAGTGTTATAAATACAAACCCAATTCCATAAAAGTTGGGACACTGTACAAATTGTGAATAAAAACAGAATGCAATGATGTGGAAGTTTCAAATTTCAATATTATATTTAGAATAGAACATAGATGACATATCAAATGTTTAAACTGAGACATTTTGAATTGCCATGCCAAATATTGGCTCCTTTTGGATTTCATGAGAGCTACAAATTCCAAAAAAGTTGGTAGCAGGTAGCAATAAGAGGCCAGAAAAGTTAAATGTAAATGGTAAATGGTAAATGGACTGCATTTATATAGCGCCTTCATAGACCTAATGGCCACCAAAGCGCTTTACATATTGCCTCACATTCACCCATTCACACACACATTCACACACCGACGGCGGTGTCAGCCATGCAAGGCGCCATCCAGCTCGTCGGGAGCAGCTGGGGTTAGGTGTCTTGCTCATGGACACCTCGACACTTGGTCAGGTGGAACCGAGGATTGAACCACCAACCTTTCGGTTCGTAGACAACCCACATGAACCACTGAGCCACTGCCGCCCCAGCAGTATGTACATATGTACATATAAGGTACATATAAGGAATATAAATGTACATATAAGGAACAGCTGGAGGACCAATTTGCAACTTATTAGGTCAATTGGCAACATTATTGGGTATAAAAAGAGCTTCTCAGAGTGGCAGTGTCTCTCAGAAGTCAAGATGGGCAGAGGATCACCAATTCCCCCAATGCTGAGGCAAAAAATAGTGGAGCAATATCAGAAAGGAGTTTCTCAGAGAAAAATTGCAAAGAGTTTGAAGTTATCATCATCTACAGTGCATAATATCATCCAAAGATTCAGAGAATCTGGAACAATCTCTGTGCATAAGGGTCAAGGCCGGAAAACCATACTGAATGCCCGTGATCTTCGGGCCCTTAGACGGCACTGCATCACACACAGGAATGCTACTGTAATGGAAATCACAACATGGGCTCAAGAATACTTCCAGAAAACATTATCAGTGAACACAATCCACCGTGCCATTCACCGTTGCCGGCTAAAGCTCTATAGGTCAAAAAAGAAGCCATATCTAAATGGGAACCAGAAGTGCAGGCGTTTTCTCTGGGCCAAGGCTCATTTAAAGTGGACTCTAGCAAAGTGGAAAACTGTTCTGTGGTCAGACGAATCAAAATTTGAAGTTCTTTTTGGAAAACTGGGACGCCATGTCATCCGGACCAAAGAGGACAAGGACAACCCAAGTTGTTATCAGTGCTCAGTTCAGAAGCCTGCATCTCTGATGGTATGGGGTTGCATGAGTGCGTGTGGCATGGGCAGCTTACACATCTGGAAAGGCACCATCAATGCTGAAAGGTATATCCAAGTTCTAGAACAACATATGCTCCCATCCAGACATCGTCTCTTTCAGGGAAGACATTGTATTTTCCAACAAGACAATGCCAAACCACATACTGCATCAATTACAACATCATGGCTGCGTAGAAGAAGGATCCGGGTACTGAAATGGCCAGCCTGCAGTCCAGATCTTTCACCCATAGAAAACATTTGGCGCATCATAAAGAGGAAGATGCAACAAAGAAGACCTAAGACAGTTGAGCAGCTAGAAGCCTTTATTAGACAAGAATAGGACAACATTCCTATTCCTAAACTTGAGCAACTTGTCTCCTCAGTCCCCAGACGTTTGCAGATTGTTATTAAAAGAAGAGGGGATGCCACACAGTGGTAAAAATGGCCTTGTCCCAACTTTTTTGAGATGTGTTGATGCCATGAAATTTAAAATCAACTTCTTTTTCCCTTAAAATTATGCATTTTCTCAGTTTAAACATTTGATATGTCATCTATGTTGTATTCTAAATATAATATTGAAATTTGAAACTTCCACATCATTGCATTCTGTTTTTATTCACAATTTGTACAGTGTCCCAACTTTTATGGAATTGGGTTTGTACATAAGAGACCTGACAATTTATCTGGCAATACCCTCACCTTGACCCGGTGGCACAGATGGCAATGTATATATGTGTGGAGAAGGGCAGGTGACACCAGTCTCTGTTACAACAGCCAAACTTGACCTGTCATGGAAGACACAAGAGTAAAACTCTCCTCGCTCCAGACTGGGAAGACTAGGGATGGATAAAGATATCTAAAAAGAGAAAAAATAAAGAGAGGGAGATAGAATTTGATTGGAAACTGTATTATACTTTTATTATACTAAAAGTAAAAAAAATGATCCATTTAAAGAAAAGGGAGAGGAATGCTTTTGGTTGTTTCTGTGCTTAATAAAGGTCACTGTAGTGAATCAAGCTTAAACAAATACATTTATCTTGCATTTTATTGTGATGCAGTGTGTGGTACTGAATTAACTTTTTGAGCTGGATTATTATTATTATCATATATTTTTTTAAATGTGTTAATATGCGAAACGCACATTTCTTCTCTCCTCACGGCTGATGTTGGATGGATTGAGAAACTCGACGGTCAGGCATTGTTGCTCCATGTCAAAGCTCCACAGCCACTGATCTTTCTGATGCCCACGCACACACTCACTACGCAGGCCACACCTGATACACAAAGACACAATGTTCAACTATTCAAAATAAAGCATTCTGAATATGAGGTAGTTTTCAAATAGGAACTTACTTCCCCTCAAGAACACACCAGCCACAATATGGATCATGAGCCAATAAACAGGACTGACAATCTAAATGCTTTTCACACTCTGCTACAGGCCTCTTCTCTAGCTGTGTGAGTAAAGTAAAAAAACAACAATGTAAAATAAAAAAGCAGATACATACAGACGTTTATTTCAGTACTATGTCTGCCTAATTAGTTTCTCTTAAAACAGTTTTGGTTCCCATTTTCTTCCATTATATGTTTTGATATAAAGAGGAAGTTAATGGAAACCAAAACTGCTTGGTTGGTTACCAACATTCTTTAAAATAACCTGTGTTACACAGGAGAAAGTCATACAGATTTAAAAAGACATAGGACATAATTTTCATTTTTGGGTGGCCTATCCCTTTAATACAAGGTTTTTTATTTTCTTTTTTAGATGAATTATCAGTTACCGACAATAACTACTTAACAACACTGACAATTCCACTTCAATAATGTGATAGTTACCATGTTACTTGTCAAGATGTATAGATGCTTCTCTTGATAGTCAAGCCTGAGCTCTCTGCTTATTGGTGAATTGGGCTGAATTGAAATTACTGCATATTCTTCCACCTCACCGTTTGGGCCAAGAAACACCTGGAAAGCACACACACAAACACACACCTTCTGAGCAAAACTGAGGAGGAAATAAAAATGTTCTAAAACGAAATCAAAACTTTACAAGGCCCAATCTCTATAGTTCATAGGGTTAAATAGACATGGATGAAACTAGCCACCACACTGTTTACCAAATTTCCCATTGCAGCTAAATGACTGTAACAAAAGGTACAACTCTACCTATTAGAGAAGATCCTCTGCTGCTTTATTCGTGTAGGGATAAAACATCTATACCATATAGAGCAAAGCAAACCAGTTATTTCTGATACTACTCCTCAAATTATTGCCACTTCATTAAAATAATACAAATATCTAGTAGAAACCTCTCTATTAACACTGAATGTCATTTTTCACATTTTGATGTAGATCTACTGCAGTGACAATTAGTGTTACTTATAAAATTGTCTTTGAGTACTATTTATTATAATATATACTGTATATATACACAGTATATATATATATATATATATATATATATATATATAAAATAAAAAATCATTTTAAACAGTAATATTATAACAACGTAAACAAAATTCGACCCAATCATGTTGGCTAGCCAACAGGGCTGGCATAAAAGGGGCTGAAATAATGGTTGTTATGGAATGAAGAACACGCATAGTGAGGACCTTCATCCATGTTATTTCAGAAAGTTGAGAAAGTAAAGAGAAAATGGGTTCAACCTGAGGCTGAAACAGCATTTGATATGTTAATAAAATCAAATGCACTTGTGCTTACCATTAATGATGTATTAAGCACCATCTCTTCAAAATTGTAACATGATTTAAATAAGATGAATCTGTTTACATAAGATTTACAAAAAGGGATAATTCTGTAAGAGCCAAATAAATGTGCTTGTAACCACACCACAGCTTATCTCCATAACATTAAAAATTAATCTCATATCCCAGTTTTTGATTACTCTGGAATTCTCCTAAACCTCCAAAATATCCACCCAAGTGCAAATCCAACATAATTTTCAGAAACACTTCTGCCTTAGCGAAGAAGAGAGAATAAATGGAAGAATTGCATACAATTAAATTAGTAGAAAAGATGGAAATACACAAATTCCTTGTAAACTTTGTAATACCTTGTGCAAGTTTCCTTGGGAGTCTCCTAGAAAGGCAATCGTATGTTCCTCCCTTACACTCACAGCCACAGCAGTGAGCCGGACAGTTGGGCTGTCAAATATTGGCTCAGCTTCCACAAGCACTCGGCTTGCCATTGGACTAGGGGTGTGATCAGAGCCACACGGGTAAGCATCCAAAGTGTTCTGCAGGGAGACAAGAGTCAAAAAGTAAAACAAAAAGTGTTAGAGTTACAAAACAATACTTCTTGTCAAATACATTTTGGGTAAAAATGCAGCATAAAAACAAAGTTTTGAAACTTGCTGCAGTGGTATAAGACAAGTACAGACCATTTGTTACTTTTTAAATCTCTAAACGAAATTAGCTACAAAATTACACCGCTTTTTTTGTCAGTAGACAAAATGTCAGTAGAGAAAATTATTATTTAAAGAGTTATATTATTTTTATATTATTTATTTAATCCCACAGTGAAAAAGAAAGGTTTCCTGAGGACCAAATCAGCATTAGAAAGACTAATTAATGACTGCTGCCACCACAATATTTTATATTTAAATATATTCCAACAGAAAACAGTTTTAAATTGTGTTTAAATTTCACAATATTACTTTTTTTGTTGCTATATTAATTTAACCTTTAAATGGTATTGTGCGAGTATACAACTGTTATACTCCCTTAAACTTCCAATAGACCAGTTTAACATATTTTAATGGCCACACAACTGGGGTGGTGGAATGTGATGTCATCATAGAATGGTGCCATATTAAATTATAGGACTTGCTTCCCCTGAAGTAACCCAAAATTAAGTGCTATGTTCCAGGGCACAACAGTGATAGCTCCGGGATCACACCTTGCATGATTTAGAATTACAACCTCAGTTACCCACCAAGATATTTAAAGGGTTATTTCATTAAAAAAAAATGAAGAAATTGGTCAAATTAAGGTTGAACAAATTTAGTCACACAGACTATTTGAATGATGTCTTTACTACCTTTCTGGCCCTTGAAAGTGGCAATTACGTTGCAGGCTATTATGGTGGGGTCAGAAAACTCTTAGATTTCATAAAAAAAAATTCTTCATTTATCATTCGGCTTTGGAGCAACATTAATGACATTACTGACAAGGGCGAGTTATTAATGACAAAAATGTTAATTTTTAGGTGAACTGATAACCCTTTAACATTAAGGCTATTTTTCACCAGATAACTTTAGGCGTTTATAAATGGTATTAAGTTTCATTTTAGTGCATCACAAGTGGGCAGGCAAGATATATGCATTTTTATCCTAGTAGTCTGCTATACTGTTATAAAAATCATTGTTGTACATTACAAGCTATAAGAATTTTATCTTACTTTTTGACCATATAAATAACAGCAACCGCACTTTGGGCTACTGAATAAAGTTGAGGTGTTTTTTCCTCCAAGTGTGAGTTTCAAGTGTGAGCTCCTCCAAATGTGAGCTCTTACATTATAGCATAACTATATGGGCCATAAAAGCCTGATGTATCAAAATATTATATTCAAAACAGACTTTTAGATTTTTTTTTTATTAATTGTCCATGACCTACAAGAACTATTTTGTCAAGAACAACAGGTTGTATGAATTTATATATATATATATATATATATATATATATATATATATATATATATATACACATACACACACACACACACACACACACACACACACACACACACACATATATATATATATATATATTAGGCTTTACAGTGTTTTATGTTTCTTTTCACAACAGGCCAATTTTTTTGGTCTAGCTCTAAAAAAAATACTTTTAAGATTGTCCCGAGAGGATCTTAGAAGCTGTTCACACCCATTTCCTGAGGCAGTAAACTTACTGGTACCCAGTTTTCAAACTCACCGCTGGAAGAATGGCACAGCTTGATTTGACTTCATACTCGATGTATGCAGCCTCGTGTCCGTCTGCACGGCCCATTTCAGTGTAGCACAGATCTCTTGTAGCATCGATACGTTTATCCACTTCCTCGAGTGAAAACACACATACTGCAGACTCTTCATTGGGTCGACTGGAGGAAGCGAATTGGCTTGAAAACACCCCCAACAGGACCTCTTGTTCCGAAGCAGCTATACTTTTTAGTCCCATAGTCTTACCTAACTTTGGCAGCCCTACATGTAGAGCTTGTAGGAGGTTATAGTTTTTTCCTCCAGCTGAACGGCAACTTAACGGAACTTCTACATATGAATAATACGCAACATCATCCAAACACATACGGGAAACATATGTGCGGTATTCTCTCGACTGCGATTTTAAGTCTCTCCGATAGAACATGAAGTAGACATACGAGCGATGGGTAAATGATGTTACAAAATGATGGTCATACTCAGAAAGCCTCCCAGCCACAGCCAACTTTGAAGTTTCTTCATATGAGAAAACAGGCTCCATAACTAAGTTTCGAGTAGATATTGGAGGTTGGCTGTTGGTATAACCACGTCCCACAAACAGCACTGGCTGTTGTTTCCCACGCCCTCTTGTGAGCGCCACAAGTCCTACTGTAGAGACATTGGGGTCATTAGCCGCAACGTATTGCGTATCCACAGGTCTCTCTGCAGAGAAAAGCACTTTTCCCACTGCATCCAAACTTCGTTTCTGACATATTCCTTGATAAACACTTCCACAACTGATGAGCTCCTGATTGTAAGGATCCACAAGTAGTAGCTTGTTGTGGTTATTGGTCCGTTTCGCCTGTGGGCAGTTTGATTCACTAATTGGTGGCAGGCAGTCACGGCTGTCTATCACAGGGCCTGTCTCTTCCTCTGCCTCAAGCTGAAGTTCAGACGAAAGCTGGTAAAGCCGATCACGGGCGCCTAAATAGACCCGACCCAATGTAGGGTCAGGATGCAAAGCTAGGTGCTCAAAGTAGGTGTCATTGCGCAAGAAAGTGGGGTGATGGCTGGAAGAAGCAGAGCTCTGAGTGACCACGCAACATAGTATGGAGAAAAGAGAAGAGAACACACACACCATCCCAGGTGGCATGTCAACTATTCTGAGGACAAAGAAAGAGAAAGAGAGAAAAAAAGTTTAAATAATTATCAATAAAAAATGTGTTTAAAACAAAAAGATGACATGAAAATTACTTTATAACAATCCCAATCTTTAAAAACAACCTAGAGATATACAAGGATCCTTTAGACTCGGTTCACATACAGCGCTTAAAATGCGTTGAAAATGCTAGGCGCGCCTCATTCTCCTTTTTCCAAAGCGCTAGTGCGGTTGCACTCCGGTTGGTTCTTGTCACGTGACCTACATGCGCTTGCAGCATTCTGAAAAGTTGAGATGTTTTTATCTCGATGCGGCGCAGACACACATTGAAAAAACAAGCGTGTCGCACCGTGACCGTGTCGCTTCCATTATGAATGTGCATAATTTGAAACAACAAACTTGAGCGCACAAAAGACGCGATATGTGAACAGGCCCTTAAACTGCTTAAAGTCGGCATGAAATGGAAATGATTGCCATTTTCTTATGTATTATGTACAGGGGTTGGACAAAAAACTGAAACACCTGGTTTTACTACACAATAATTTGTTAGAATGGTGAGGGCCTCATTTTGCATCCAAATACAGCACCAATTGACAGATAGAAGTCCTTCACAGTGACCAGAGGGATTATGAGCCGTTCCTCTTCCAGAACAGTGTCCAGGTCACTATATGATGCTGGTGGACTCGCTCCTCCAAAACACCTCAATAATATTCAGATCTGGTGACTGTCAGACCATGGGAGATGTTCAACGTCACTTTCATCTTCATCAAACTCTTCTGTCTTGCTGTGTGTGTTGGTGCATGATCATGCTGATACACGGTTTGAGCATCAGGTGCTCATGATCCTCCAGAAGGGTTTGGTAGTCCTCGGCAGTGTCGTGTCCATCAAATACAATCAGGATTGTCATGATATTGGAGCTCAAACCATCACTGATCCACCCGTGCTTCACTCTGAAGATTGGCCGCCAGGCATATAGATGTGAAACCTCCAACATTGGCCAGTGTTTCAGTTTCATTGTCCAACCCCTGTATATACAAGTGAAAAGACTTCTCGAATAAGAACAAAATGGGACTTGATTTTGTTGGATTGTCGTCATTTACTATTGTTGCGATCTCATTTAATGACAGGTTAATATGTCATCAGTAGTGTTGGGCATTGAGAACCAGATCCATTTTGTTCCAAATTTCCAAGAACCGAGGATTTGATAAAATGCGCATTTCGAGTCCGCTTATCGATTACCATTTAAGAGCAAGATTAACGAGACAAGAACTTATTTCGGCACTCATTCGCTGCTTTCTGTGCTGCACACACATCCAAAGCGCAAACACTCCACTAACATAGTGTACTAATACTTGCATTTTCTAGCACTTGAATGGACAAATACACAAAAAAATAATAAAAAACAGCTGAGAAAGAAAACGTGTATCAGAATATTAAATGGTCTTAAGATGCATTAGGTCTTAAAGTGACAGCAGCCCAATATAGTAGGGATGCCAAAATTTAAAAAAAAAAATATTGAACCGTTCGGTACGACATCCACGATTCAATGCTTGTGAATTGTGTTTTTTTTTTTTTCAGTTTTATGTTTAAATAATTTATGTGCGTTTTATTTCAGAGTCAGAGAAGAAAAGAGATGTCAAGCGAAGGGAAGTTATTTGATTAAAGATTACAACAAATGAATAAAATAATCATAATGACATCCACAAACATCATTTATAATAAATACTGCAATATTACATTAAAAAAAAGAATTATCCATTTTGATTTCATGGTGACTAAATATAAGACACCATTACAAAATAATGTTAATGTTATTAAAACAAATTCCATTAACACAAATTAAGAAAGAAATGGCACGAATGACATGGCATGATATGTGAGAGAGAGACAAAAAGAGAGACAGTTGATAAAAGGTTTCTCTTACCAGGATTTGGTCTGCAGGGTCGACATGCATACAGGAAACACAATCAAACATACGTCCCCATCGGCTAAACCTAGGAAACACATAAAAAGAAATAATTTTGTTTAAAAATGACTTGCCCTTTAAAAAGAAGTGTATGCATTTGACAGAAGCATGTTCAGAAGGTTTAAAAATTTGGAATAATTACAAAATGTCACAACCAACAGTCACTGGTTATACTTGGCCCTTGCTACATTTCTGCAACATGCTGACCAATCAAATTTAATCTGATCGCTAATTTTTGTGACATTCACAACAAAGTGAATAGTGAATTGCAGAAATACAAAAGAAACAGCACAATTTATCTGTCAAGCATGTATGGTTTACAACCAGGGGTCTCATTTATAAAGCGTGCATACGCACAAAACGGGGCTGGAAATGTACGTACGCCAGTTTCCATGCAGAGGCTGTGATCTATAAAAAACAAACTTGACGGGAGAATGTGCGCATCTTTAAGCAAACTTTGAGCCGTGTGTACGCACTTTGTTTTGGAGACAAAGCGACACTGATGGTGAGCTGGAGTTAAATGTCTTTTTGGTCACTTTTAGACCGAAAATCTAAAGAAAATTATAGCCTATAGGCTACAGAAAGATAATACCCTACAAATATAATTTCACTCACCAAGCCTATCACTTGAAACCAATATCCATCCCTTCTTAAATATCTGCGCCAGCAAGCGCGTTGAGCTGTTTAGTGAAACTGACGCACATATAGCCTATAATCTAATGGCAGATGAAGTAAAACCGTAAATCTTTATGAGTCCTAATAAATACAGTGCATGTTCTCAATAACAGTTAAATAAATGAAAGAATGATTTAAACTATGTTTTACTTCTGATATAAACATTTAGATACAAACCCGATTCCAAAAAAGTTGGGACACTGTACAAATTGTGAGTAAAAAAAGAATGGAATAATTAAAAAATCTTATAAACTTATATTTTATTCACAATAGAATATAAATGACATATCAAATGTTGAAAGTGAGACATTTTGAATTGCCATGCCAAATATTGGCTCCTTTTGGATTTCATGAGAGCTACAAATTCCAAAAAAGTTGGGACAGGTAGCAATAAGAGGCCAGAAAAGTTAAATGTACATATAAGGAATAGCTGGAGGACCAATTTGCAACTTATTAGGTCAATTGGCAACATGATTGGGTATAAAAAGAGCCTCTCAGAGTGGCAGTGTCTCTCAGAAGTCAAGATGGGCAGAGGATCACCAATTCCCCCAATGCTGAGGCAAAAAATAGTGGAGCAATATCAGAAAGGAGTTTCTCAGAGAAAAATTGCAAAGAGTTTGAAGTTATCATCATCAACAGTGCATAATATCATCCAAAAGATTCAGAGAATCTGGAACAATCTCTGTGCGTAAGGGTCAAGGCCGGAAAACCATACTGAATGCCCGTGATCTTCGGGCCCTTAGACGGCACTGCATCACACACAGGAATGCTACTGTAATGGAAATCACAACATGGGGTCAAGAATACTTCCAGAAAACATTGTCAGTGAACACAATCCACCGTGCCATTCACCGTTGCCGGCTAAAGCTCTATAGGTCAAAAAAGAAGCCATATCTAAACGGGAACCAGAAGCGCAGGCGTTTTCTCTGGGCCAAGGCTCATTTAAAGTGGACTCTAGCAAAGTGTAAAACTGTTCTGTGGTCAGACGAATCAAAATTTGAAGTTCTTTTTGGAAAACTGGGACGCCATGTCATCCGGACTAAAGAGGACAAGGACAACTCAAGTTGTTATCAGCGCTCAGTTCAGAAGCCTGCATCTCTGATGGTATGGGGTTGCATGAGTGCGTGTGGCATGGGCAGCTTACACATCTGGAAAGGCACCATCAATGCTGAAAGGTATATCCAAGTTCTAGAACAACATATGCTCCCATCCAGACATCGTCTCTTTCAGGGAAGACCTTGTATTTTCCAACAAGACAATGCCAAACCACATACTGCATCAATTACAACATCATGGCTGCGTAGAAGAAGGATCCGGTTACTGAAATGGCCAGCCTGCAGTCCAGATCTTTCACCCATAGAAAACATTTGGCGCATCATAAAGAGGAAGATGCAACAAAGAAGACCTAAGACAGTTGAGCAGCTAGAAGCCTTTATTAGACAAGAATAGGACAACATTCCTATTCCTAAACTTGAGCAACTTGTCTCCTCAGTCCCCAGACGTTTGCAGACTGGGGGATGCCACACAGTGGTAAAAAATGGCCTTGTCCCAACTTTTTTGAGATGTGTTGATGCCATGAAATTTAAAATCAACTTCTTTTTCCCTTAAAATTATGCATTTTCTCAGTTTAAACATTTGATATGTCATCTATGTTGTATTCTAAATATAATATTGAAATTTGAAACTTCCACATCATTGCATTCTGTTTTTATTCACAATTTGTACAGTGTCCCAACTTTTATGGAATTGGGTTTGTATATGCCATTCTCATTACTTGAGTTAAACACTTAAACTAGTACATGATGCAATGCTTTTAAACACTTTCCCTCTGGCATTCTGTGTTTTAATGTTTTAACTAGAGATAATTGCTGATCATGACAGTAGATTGTCTGAGAAAATAGTTCCATGCAAATAATGCACAACCATGTCTATCGGTTTCCATTAAAAATATAAATTAATTAAACATACTATTTGGCCAGTGGAAAAGAAAGTGGAAAAAAATAATAATAATTTATTGCGACACGAAACATCTATATTTAATATTTTACTAAATATCAATACGTCTTCTACCTTAACATGGTATCACGTGGACGAGTAATCAAATGCAAATGATATGCAGATGAGGAAATGCATATTTAAACTAGGCATTGTAAGCTCCATATATGGTTATTTCGGGGAGGAGACGTATGTGCGCACAATCTTCGGCTGACTGGGATTTATTAAGTGAATTCTGCGCAGGTTCTGGCGTACAAACGGTTATATAAATCGGAATATTTTTTGGCGTACACCATTTTTGCCTTTCGGGTGCATGTACACTTTTAGTAAGGATCCTACGCACAGTTTTATAAATGAGACTCCAGATCTGTAAAATGCCTAGTGTAAAATGACAGCACTAGAAGATAATTAAAATATATTAAAATGTGATCTACTTAGTTACATTTTTATAGGCCTATTATATGTTAGTTATAAAAGAGATGATACAACAAATAATTTAATGGTATTCTTTATACTAAATTAATTTACTATTCCTTTGAAATTCACTGATTTCAAATTCGCATAGATTTTATATTTAACCCACAATCCTCTTCATATACCAGTGATCCTAAACACCAGCACTATAAAATCTTGCAATCCTGAATGGTTTCCAGAATGAGTTTTACAGAATATTCTCCAGAATCTGTGTAGTGATGGGGCTTTAAATGAGTAAACAAATTACAACATAACATGTAAAGCATGGACTTTGTGAACTATAACTATTCCTTTCACTAAAGATGCATTATAGGTGTATATCTCCAAAAAAAAAAAACAAAAAAAGAAATCGCAGTTTAATTATTGCTTCAAAGATTAGAAATATGTGGGCAGTTTTAGCTGATCTGACCCATTAAACAAACATTTGACATTAAATGGCAGGTGGATGTATAAAATAATGATGCCACAATATGAACCTGCAGTACCTTATTCAAATAGTGGCACAGAAGCCTCTATGAAAGTTTGCATGAATAAAAGTCTTTGAGACTCAATTCAATGTGCAACCGAATAGAAAGTGAATGAACCGTCCACGAGGATACATTCAGCACAGTAAAGCTCTGAAGAAAGAGTAAACACAACATGTCTAAACCTGAGAACCAGGAATCTTAAGGAAATATCAGCTAGACTCTTCAGAGAGAATTTGAGATAAACTATAGTTATATCCCTTCCTAAACATTCCTTAAAAGTCAACATGAAATGGTGTTGGCATTTTTGTTTCTAATGTGCCATATTCAAAGTAGGGGAGCTCACTGCTCGTATTGATCGGCTACCGATCGATATCGGCTGATATTCGATTTTAATGATTGGATCAGCAACCTGTCAATTTGCTGATCTCATAAAACGATCTCATGCTAACGTAACGACACAAAGACACGTGCATGCCGTGAGAGGTATAGCAGCAGCGGCGCAGTCTCTCAATCTCGGTCCACCGCGTATGAAATCGTTATAATGCTAAAGCCAGGTGAGGTGTAATTCATATCTTTCTTAAATAACCGACAAAGTAATTTGAAAACTTACTGTAAAGCCTAAGTCCGAAGCCCTTATAGAATCACGGCAATTCATTGGCTAATGGCGCGGGCGCCGCCCCGACACTCTTACGTTATAACATTATATGCGCACAGGCGCGCACAATCTGTTCCTCAGATTTTTCTACCTTCACGAACCGGCCATTTAATGCCATTCGCTTTCGTTTTTTCTGAACCCGAAAAATTCGGATTACAACTGCTTGGTCGTCTTCTGCACTTTAGCGACTGGAATAAGTGGAACTCTGTGGAATAAGTGAATGATCGCTTCATTCCGACGACCCTCACAGTAAGTGCTTAAAGTGTTTTGGTTTTTCGCATGTGCGTGAGGCTGTTTTAGGATCGTCTAAATGCAAATTCTGTGACAATCTGCTTCTCAAAACCCTCCGCTCCAGTCTCACGGTTTTTGAGGAGGAGTCATTCGTTCTCCACCTTTCGTGCTCACGAGACTGCCTATGCCTCTCGACAACCTGGGGTTCAGATTTACAGCTCGAGGATTTGGAGTAACAGCAGACGGTCCTCGCCCTTTCTCTCCCTCCCTCTCCCGACCGCGCACTTGGCATGCCTCCCTGCCATTCAGTGCGCACTCCACACACACACTTGGATATGCATCAAAATCTTGTGTTTATTGTGATAATCTTAGCACTATTATTATTCTCCAGCCTGTATTATGAATGAAATGTGATGAATTGCTTTATTCCTTTTTTGGATAAAAGTGTCTTAGCCTAATAAATGTTATAATAATGACATTATTTTCATAATGACACACTCTACACCTTCCCGTCCATCAAGTTGATCCAGG